TATGCTAAGTGATATGAACTAGACAGAGAAAGACAAATACTGCCTGATGTGACTTATATGTGGAATCTAAAAAAGCTGAACTCTCATAAATAGAGACAAGAATAATGATTTCCATGGGTGGGGGGGGTGGGGAAATGAGGAGAAGTGGGTCCAAGGGTACAACATCCAGTTATAAGATGAATAAGTTCTGGAAATCTAATGTTAAACATGGTGACTATAATTAACAATGCTGTATTACATACTTGAAAATTGCTAAGAGAGCTCGTAAATATTTTCACCACAAAAAAAAAAAAAAGGTAATTATGTGAGGTGATGGAAGTGTTAACTAACCCTACCATGGTAATCATTTCCCAATAAGTGTATCGAATCATCATGTACACCTTGAACTTATATAATATTATATGTCAACTATATCACAGTAAACTTGGGAAGGAAAAAAGGAATGGTCCCGATGGAAAGAGCAAGAGTTTAATTCCAGATAAATGAAAAGTCAACAAATTCAAGTCCAGAGTGTGAAAGGAAAACAAATTAAGAAAAATTACCAGCTTTTGTCTTGCCAAAAGCTCAGGTTCTTAAAAGGCCTTCCTTTGGTTTATAAATCTTATGTTAGGAAAAGAGGTATGATATTGTAATTTTTATATATATATAGATATATATATATATATATATATATCTATATATATATATATATCTGGTTTTAGTGTCTATAATTCCTGGCTCACAGATCCCAAAACCCTTGGAATTGCCTAAGTGTTGAGAGTTATTAAAGTGTCTTTTGTTATGTTAATGGAGTAACTTTTAGAGGGCACCTATGGATGGGTACTTGTTGCCAATGAAGCCAACCATGTGATTAAGGGGTTGGAATTTCCAGTCCCACCCTGTGACCTCCATGGAGGCGAGAGGGCCTAGAGGTTGAATCAGTTACCAATGGCTGATGATTTAATTGATCATACCTATCTAATGAAGCCTCCATAAAAATCCAAGGATAGAGTCCAAAGAGTGTGGCTTAGTGAACACCTGGAGATAAGAGGAGAGCAGCATACCTGGTGAGAGCTTACAAGCTCTGCACCCCTTACCACCTACCTTGTCCTATGCATCTCTTCTATCAGGCTGTTCTGAGTTTTATCTTTTATAACAAATCAATAATCTAGTAAATAAAATGTTTGAGTTCTGTGAGCCATCCTAGGAAATTAACCAAACTTGAGAAGGAGGTCATGGGAACCTGTGATTTATAGCTGGTTGGTCAAAAGCACAGGTAGCAATGTAGGCTTGCAACAACTGGTGTCTGAAGTGGAAGTGGATAGGGAGGTGCAGTTTTACAGAACTGAACCCTTAACCTGTGGAATCTGATGCTATCTCTGGGGAGATACTGTCAGAATTGAATTGAATGCTTGAACACCCAGCTGGTGTCTGGAGAATTACATGGTGCTGTGTGGGAACACTCCCCCCTCACATATTGGAAACTGACTCTCAGAACCATGTGGGTGTATGCAAATGTGTGAATAAAACAGACATGTCACATTTTAGAATAGGAATCTTGAATCATATAGTTTAACCTTGCCTATTGAAGATAAGAAACTGAGTCTCATGGAAGTGAAATGTCCACAGTCACAGAAAATTGAGAAAAAAATCAGAACTACACTCCTGAGTTTCTAGAGTTCTCAGTCCCAGTGCTTTGCCCACTATAACAGACTGTCATTGAGAGATACGTATAAGTATACATCACCAGAAGGCGAAAGGATTCCCAGAGGAGAAACTAGAACTAACAGCCTTGGCAGTCCATTCTTACTCAGGTTAGCCTATGTCCACAGGTCTGTAAGACCCAGGTAAACAGAACAAAGAGAGAGAGGAAAGCCCATTTTCTAATACGTAAATATCTACTATGTTGAATATGGAGGTTGTATAGACTGAAAACTTTTTTCCTTTTCCATTTCTTTTTCTAGTATCTAAAACCATATATGCATTCAAGGAGAAGCAAGAAGGTCATTTGCTCAATGCCAAGTTTGTTCCACAAAAAAGTAATTAGGATGATGACAATCATACCATACCAGGGAATTCACTCTAAAACCACATCTAGAGATGTGTTAAAACCATACATTCATCCAGCTGAGTCAGACATATTTATACCCTTGCAAATTCTACATGTGAATTTTTTCAAAATGCCAAGTGAAATGTTTAAGCACTTTAACCTGGGCTGAAAAAATTGAGTTTTATCAGACAGATCTTATGACTTGACACACATTAGGAAAACAGCTCCATCCTTAATGAAAAAGAAATTCTCAAACAATATACACAATTTCAGTATATCTACAAATTAAATGCCTTTTCATTCCATAAAAATTAAAAGTAATACAGAATATCTCTAATAAAAGTCAAGTCACAAATAGGCCACATAAAAAGTGAAAGTAGGCAACTTGATTTTTTTTTTTTTTTAGTGAGAGAAAGACAGCACGAGTGGGGGGACAGGGCACAAAGGCAGAGGGAGAGACAGAATCTCAATAGACTCCTCCACCCTGAGTGGGAGCCTGAGGTGGGGCTCCAACTTAGGACCCTGAGATTGTGAACCAAGATGAAACGAAGTCAGATGCTTAACTGACTGAGCTACCACAACTTGACTTTTTAAATAAGGATGACCTTCTACTCCAAATAAGTGCCCTCTAAAAAATGGCATGGCAATGAAGCCTTGTCATACACTGTGAAAGGTATAATATCTATATGCCAGTAATAGCACTTCATTTATTTTTATGGGAATAGATGTTCCCATAGTAACAAATTCAACTCAAAAATTCTTTTAGTTCAGTGTAGCATATTAACTTATACTGGCCCAATTTCACTTCTGTGAATGCCAATTGAAAAGCTTGCTAGTGCTATAGAAAGCATACTGTGCAACATGTGATTTTCCAAGTTAGGATGCCAAAAGGTGTCAAATTCAATATCCCAACATTTTTACCTCAATTTCTAAAAATCAAATCTGTAAAAAAATTTAACCTCCTTTCTATAAAAGAACAAAATCTTAACAGTTTGCCCCCCCAAAAGAAGGAAAACCAATAGCCACACAATTCTAATTAATCATTCTTTTTCTTCATGTCTTATTATCATCCATTAACAATCCCACTGTCTCCTCAAACTGTCACTGAACGCCCCACAGTTACCACTATTCAAAAAACTGAAAGATTGGCTTTAATGCAAATGGAGCCACATTGCAGACACCACGTGAGCCCATTTAGTCAGTGCTTATCTTCATTAAAGGGCCAGGCCCTTTCAGCCAAACCTTAACTACTTTCTGCAACAGGGGTACATAAGCCTAAGAATACCAGATCTTCCTGGTTTTCAAAAGAAGTTGGAAATCTAATTTTCTTGCAAAAATATCCTAATTGTTAAATGTTAGCTTCTTTTAATATTTGGCCCCAATGGGGTGCTTGGATGGCTCAATCATTCAGTGTCTGCCTTTGGTTTAGGTCAAGAGCCCAGCTTCCTGGGATTGAGCCCCACATCAGGCTCCCTGTGCAGCAGGAAGCCTGCTTCTTCCTCTCCCACTCCCTCTGCTTGTGCTCCTTCTCTTGCTGTCTCTCTCTCTGTCAAATAAATAAATTAAATCTTAAAAAAAAAAAAAAATTGGCTCCAAAGTACAAGCTTACAGCTGGATCCAGCTGGCTGGTTTCTAGCTTGCAACCTCTGGCTCATATAGAAATTCCTATCTTTAGAACATCACTCTGTGGTTAGAGAAGCCTGAGAAGAATAGGGTGAGAAGGACTGAAGACTAGTGGTGCCATGTTCACAGAGAATCACCATCCTCTGCCACTGCATTCAGGATGGACTCCTACCACTGCATCACCTTACCTGTGGAAAAGTCTGTCTACCAGACTGGAAACTTCATGAGGGCAAACCCAGACCTTTATTCATCTTAGTTTCCCCAGCATTTGGCACGTGAAAGCACACGATAAATATATTTGAAGGAATGAATAAGTGATTGAATAAATAAACACCAAATAATGTAATTTCTAGTGTCAATCCCCCCTACCTTCTTTCTCCAATATGGAACTCAGTGAAAGGAGTATTTCTAATGACACCACATTTCAATACTGAGCTGCTCTATAATGGAGTATAAGAAATGGCTGCTTGTATTAATGGCTAAGTGAATTTGGGGTCGACTTTGTAAATGTTCATTGCAGGATTAAAGTCAAGAAACAAGTATTTCAAAAAGCTTCTGCGAGACAGAAAAGTCTCAGGGGAATAGGAGTAGGGAATGTAGAAGGGAGTCCCCCTACTCTATGTGGTAACAAAAGATTCACAAATGCTTTGTAACCAGGTTGGGTCTAGGGGTACTAGATGCCTCTCTATGGGTGAAGTGGCAAGTGGAGGGGTTTGGAGGGGATAAAGGATCACCCAGGAGAGCGGGGTGGTAAAAACAAAAAGGAACATTCATTCCATGATGTTTCTGTGCAAATGGGAATGATTTCAGTACAGATTAAAAGGAGGCCTGATTTTGAATCCCTGTCATTTGTTGGCTAGCTGCTATTTTTATTCTTTTCTTTCTCTCTCCCATATACACGCTATTCTATATGCTTTGGAGTCTACATTTTTCTTCAATACAATCTTCAGAATGCAAATCTATACTCTATGTACCTATGTACATCGATTTATAGTCTTGGCTATAAAAACTACTTCTGAGTAACTTTTAGAGAACAACTCAGTGGGTACTTATAATTTAATTATTACCAAATAATCATAAACCATAAGTAAGGTTTATACCACATGGAGAGCTTGGCAATTAACCAGTGCAGACTTCATTTAATCACAGCAGAAGGCTTAAATTTTCTGAACCAATACTTCGGACTCTGGAGCTGACAACTGTGAATAATGTTCCAAGGATGATGTAAGAAAATATTTGAAATAGGAACAGCTCAGGAAATTCATGATGCCAAAGTAAGCAGGTGAGTGTATAAAGAAGAGAAGTTTGAGGGCCTGATTCTAGGCATAAAACATAGAAACATACTTACCAGAATGGATGGTGGGGTTGACAGAAGACTTGAGCTTTGGGTGTTCCAAACTAGGTCTTCAGTTTCAGGAAGTAAAACTCCTCTCACTGAAGAAAGAACATTTTTAGTTGAGACAATATTGTATATGAGCTTCAGGGACAACTAAAAACCAGGTTGTTCCTTTTTAATAGTTTAGATTTTGGCACAACAGATAAGGGAGACTTGCTTAGAAAATGGTGGTTTTTTTCTTAATTTTTCTTTAAAGATTTTATTTATTTATTTCATAGAGAGAGAGAGAGATCATAAGTAGGCAGAGATGCAGGCAGAAAGAGAGGGGGAAGCAGGCTCCCTGTTGAGCAGAGAGCCAGATGTGGGGCTCAATCCCAGGACTCTGAGATCATGACCTGAGCCGAAGGCAGAGGCTTAACCCACTCAGCCACCCAGGTGCCCCATAAAGTGTTGTTATTTTATTCAGGTATTTTACTTATATTGAGAGAGGGAAACTGAAAGACTCCATAAAAATCTGCTTTTTCCTCTTTTTCCTGCTTCTGTTCTTACTAGGACCTGTACTCTCACTTTACACATGCCTCATGGAACAGTGTACGTCCTCCTTGTAAGGGATAAGTTAAAGATTTTTCTAGAGTCTTCCAGCACAACAGATAACATCAAAGAAAGGGCCACGGGAGAATGATGTGACAAGGCCATCATATGTATATTCCAGACCACAGGCACCAAACATCTCAATGCCAAGACCTCCTGGCTCCTAGGAATAGGAGGCTTATGAAGGACACCTGGAACACTGTCCTTGTTCTAGCTGGTTCCCGGATGCCTGAGAGGACATGTACACCAGACTACAATCCTCACTAAAAACCCCAGCCCCCAAGTAAAGACACAACTGTCTCCTTTTCTAAGTTTCCCAGATACTGTGTCTGTATCTGCTCTCTCTATATATATCTTCAATAAACTCTGCTCTCTCCCTTCCTGAAGCTTGTGCTTGATGTCTATCCTGCATATCACCAAGGATGCTCTTGGCTGTTCCTGTGGGGCCCTCTCTGGGTCCTTGGACCTGGCCTGCCGGCATTACTATTAACAAAATCTATCTGATTTATAAGACTCCAGCATAAAATATTGTCATTATTACATTTAAGACATTCCTATATTATTTCTTTTTCTTCCTTCAAGCATTGTTTACTCTTTTCAAGATTCCTGTAAAGCAGATATTTTTAAGTTGGTTTTTTTTTTTCATTTTAATAAGGATGTTAAACTGAACTTCCACCTTATTTGGTTGATGCTAAGAATTATAAAAAATTATTTCCTCGGGCGCCTGGGTGGTTCAGTTGGTTAAGTGGCTGCCTTTGGCTCAGGTCATGATCCCAGGGTCCTGGGGTCAAGCCCTGCATCAGGCTCCCTGCTCCACAGAGAGGCTGCTTCTTTCTCTCCCTCTGCTCTGCTTACTTGTGTTCTCTACCTCTCTGTCAAAGAAATAAATAAAATCTTAAAAAAAAAAAAAAGATTTCCTCTTTGACAGAAAGTATCTGAAAAATGGGTTAGGACACCAGACAGTTTACAGAGCTCTATACCAATATTAAAGAGCAATAAAGGTAAGATAGCAGATTATATAACATAATTCAACAAAGGCTTACTGAATCCTTGCTAATTACTACAGACTTTGATAAAGTTGAGACTATAAACATTAATAAAGCCAAGTTTCTCCTATGCAAGTAAGTATTCCCTATGTCAGAGAGATAAATACAAATTATAAAATGATGTGAGTGGCATATATACAATGTATGGGATACAAAGAAGAAATTGATTTTGCCTGAAGGGGAAAGGGAATCTATAAAAGCTAAAGGAAAAAAAAAAAAAAAAAGGATTGCCATGACTTGATCTGGTGTATGCACTAAAAACAAAAGCAGGATCTCTCTTTATTCAGCTGTTATCACTGGCCTGACTTAAAGGGATCAATGAGAAGCAAAAACCCCTATTTGACTTAAGTATTTCCCAAAACTCTTTTTCAATTGTGTATTCAGTTATCTTGTCCTCTATAGAAAATAAGCACATGGATCAAGGATTAAAATGATGACCAGGTTATCTAGAAAGCTACAGCCATTCAGAATTCTGAGTTGGCATGACAACTCAGATTTTAGACACAAACTTTTGTGCAACTGAAACATACATCTAATGAAAGGTCAACACACCTGAATTAGTTTCTCCTGTATATCCTAAAGCTTTTGTTAGATTTGCTTAGAAATTCTCAGCTGCTAAACTCCTTTTTAGGACACCTTCCAGAAGTTAGCTCTACAACCATAAAAAGAAGACCTTCCTAAGCTGTTTGTGGATTTAGTTTCCTAAACAATCTCACTTTACCTCCTGCATACCTTAATCTCCATGCCATTTCTTCCACTACCCTCGTTAATAACCTTGGTGTTTGTAAATTCTGCTCAGTTTAGGTTCCCATCTCCTTCAGGTCATGACTTCCCAGCTTCATTTTTTTCTCAGATCCCAATATCCAGATTTCTAGGACCTTCTGCCTACTTGCTGTCCCCCTAGGTAGCTCCCAGTTAGTCTATATCAGCTTTGCCAAAAGGACTTCAGCAATTTCAGATTATAACAAGCCTCTTCTCCTTTCACTATTTTATTTGGCTCAGGTAATCCAACAAGATTCAACAACAAGAAAGAAGTATATGAGAAAATAAGCCCAGGATACCTGCACTGCTCCAAAATACAAAGGTTCTTTCATGTTTTAGAACTGATAGCCCACTATCACTATCATCTATGAAGAAAGAGTTTCTCCACTTTAGGAGCCATTGGTTAAGCTTTCTGGCTCTTGGTTTCTGTTCAGGTCGTGATCTCAAGGTGGTAAGATAAAGCCCCATACTCAGTGGGGAGTCTGCTTCAGATTCTCTCTCCTCTCCCTTCTCCCCTCCCCCAATTTATGCTCTCTTTAAAATAAATAAATCTCTAAATAAATAAATAAATAAATAAATAAATAAAGAGTTTCTCCGTTTCAAAGTCCCATATAACCCATATGACGTCCAGGCCACTTTGGGGCTCTGTCTCAGCACACTGTCGTTTTAAGGAAACATCAGTCTAGCAGCCAAAATAATTGAAAAGCAATTTAAAGTTTTAGTGAAGCCCTCAAAAATTATCTTCTTTAGGAAGTGAGGAATTATACATAGTAAAATTTCATTAAAGCTTTTCTCTCTCTTTTCTCTCTCGTCTGTGTTTGTGTTTGTTTATTTATACACACACACAGGCCTAGGGGATAACTGCCTGAAAAAATACAGATTCTTTTCTCTTAAGAAAATGTGGGAATCAAAGAGACTATCAAAATGCATCATTGTTAGTATTGTCTCTCATTCATGGGTTTTCCTGTTTGGTAGCTGCTACGTTTCGCATGCCATCATTTCAGTAAAATATACTCCATGGACATCTTAAAGGCTAAAGGACCCATGAAAGAAGATGTCATAAAGACATAAACATGAAGGAGTAGGTAATTTAATAGAACATCATGTCCCTGATGAGTTAAACTGTTGCAACACTAGTAACCAGACTTTTTTCTTTTTTTTAAGATTTTATTTATTTATTTGACACAGAGAGAGAGACCACATGCAGACAGAGAGGCAGGCAGAGAGAGGGGGGAAACAGGCTCCCTGCTGAGCAGAGAGCCAGAGACAGGGCTTGAACCCAGCACCCTGAGATCATGACCTGAGCCAAAGGCAGAGGCTTAACCCACTGAGCCACCCAGGCACCCCAGTAACCAGATTCCTAGTAAACTTTAGTCTGAGATTAACTAGATCCCTCTTTAGCCTCTAAATCCCAAGTACTCAAACCCTCCTTGATGAACACTTGATTTCAGATCATAACTGGATCTTTCCAGCTATCCAAGTTCAAACTTGGGACTGAATTCTCCGGGATTCTGCCTATCAACCAGTATCAGTTCTTCTTTGACCAAGATCTTCCCTGAACTTTTCTGAGCTGCTCTTTTGTCTCCTGCTCTCTGGTTTTTAAGTCTTAACACCAGTCAATTTGCCTGTGGAGAATTACTGTGTTGGTTGCCCCAGCAGCACTATAACCTATTCCAATTCATGCTTGCCGGTTCTACTTCTCTTTTTCTTATATGCTGCTCCCATTTTCCTAAACTATTTCTAAAATATCATGCAGTTCTCTACTTTCCCCACTGTTTGTGGCCTTTTGTCTACCAATACTCCTAAGAGCTCCTGATTGATCTATCCCAAATACCTGCATGGCTAAAGCTCCATTCACGTCAGGACGGCTCCTTTCTCATTCCATCTAGAGAATGATCAGAACCACAGATATTTAAGGAAATTGGTTTTCACCAGAGTATACTGGAAAGGAAACTAAAGCTGTACAAGGACTTCATGATGCATATCAACTCACCATTGATAAGCTGAAGGGAGTCAGGATCTGGATTCAAAGAGGAGTTCCCCAACAAAAAATTCTGATGAAGGGTCTCAGCAATATAATCTCTGAAGTTACTAATTGCATAAACAGCAGTGGGTTTATCATCCAGTTCCACAAGACCATGGTTTTCCACCTTGTTGGAATGAAGGCTAATCAGGTCCCAGGTGGTATTGCTGATGGCCTCACCATTGAAGGTAACTGCATAATGAACATCTATACCACTATGGATGGAAAGAGAGGACAGATTAGGCCCTGCTAAGGAAGCGCAAAGAAAGGAGCTTTGAACCCATGGAGTACAAACACTACACCTGATGGGGGGTTGGGGGGGGTCTCAAAAAGCATGGATTCCACCGCCATTCTCTGCAGACTCTGGACAACCTTTTGCCATTCCTTCCTGCTTCCTAGAGAACAGAGGCTCATAGCTCTCGACCTTGCATTATATGTAAACACATTCTTCCCCACCATTCTCCCTGCTTCTTTCCTCCTTCAGAGCCAAGAGCTCCTCTCCACTAATAGCCAGCCTCCTTCTTTCCCTATTAGCATTTCTCTTCCCGGATTTAAAACAAACAAATAAACAAACAAACAAACAAAACCTTCTAACTACACCCAACAAGGGGTAATCCTCTCATCTCTCTTTCTTACTGTTGTTGTATAGATTATGTACTCCACAATGAGAGGTAGGTCCTGAAGAAATGAAGAAGCTTAATTACTAAATTACTAAAACACAGTTATTGGGAAGGAAAATATGAAATACTTGGAAATAAAGCAAATTGATGACTTGTGATTTTTTTTTTAATATCATCCTAGAATGTTTTCTAATATGACAGTTATCTAAGTCTCTCAGGAGATGGAATTTTGTTTGATAGTCCAGACAATTTACAGTCCTGTAAAGTTTGATACTAAACTGTAATAAAACTATTAAGATGTTATCTGGGGTTTTTCTGGCCTGGTAGCAATGATGACTCCAAAGTTTATGATTTTACTACCCTAAACCTTTCCCAAATTGACTACATAAATTTCTGTTTTTCAAATGCTCTACTAACTAGCTTTCATTTTTCCACTGGCTCCTTCACTAATGAGCTGAATAAAACCTTAGTGAGCTAACAACTGTCTGAGACTGGGCTTTTTTACTATTTACCTTTCCATAAGCAAACAAAGAGACTTCTTAGAATAAAGGGTAGAGTAAAAATACATAAATCGTAGTTGACATGCCATTTGATATTTTCTTAAATAATCGTTTTGGAGAAATAACACTAGACTATGAAATTTTTAAGCCAATAAAAATACTCCTTCTAGACTCTCAGATTTCTCTAACAACTAAAAGCTAACATTTTAAGAGTGCTTACCATGTGACAGGTATTTCATATGCTTTATCTCATTTAATCTTCATAATAACCCTGTGAAGGTTTTATTATCTTCAGATTATTATTAAAGAAACTGAGCTTTAAAGAAGTTAGAAGACTTGCCTAAAATTTTAAAACATGTAAGTGGTAGAGTCCAGATTTAAACACAGACACCCTGACTCCAGCACCTAAATTCTGAACTACTATGCTATACTCTCAGCAGGTTTATTTAAACTATTATCCAAAAAATTCATTGTGAGGACAGCTTTGCTCTAGTCATCACTCTGGCTTCCCACCAGTCTGTGATGAGACACAGCCATCAGAAGCAGGACCCAGCAAGTCACACCAAGATACTTCTGGAAGACAGAAGAACACTACTTTCCCAAAGATAAACACTCAAGAAAGACAGGCAATGGAAACAATTTGCCTCCTTCAGAGATTCTGTAGGAGTAAAATGACTCCCAAATCAAAGCATACAAATAATTTAAGTACTTCTCCCTTTTAACTTACTTATACATCATTATATATAATCAAAGAATATACAGCTTTTGTGATTTTTGTAAAAAGATTTTGTTTAAAGTGACTGCCTTTCAGTCTCTCCTTGAATTTCCATCCCCAGTGTTCAGCACGGGACCTGGCACTAAGGGGCCCCCAGTACCTACTAAATAAATAGAAATCTAACCTCGTCTGAATATAAAAAGAAAACTACAATCTAATTAAGGTATTCAAAAATCTGAACAAAAAGTATCAACATAATAAGAATGATCTCATGGAGTCTAGGAAAAAGGATTAGTCAATTAATTTATTTCACTATTTAGTAGAAATCTTCAGACCAACGTATTGTGGGTTCCTTGTAAAAAGAGATCCCTAGATTGGATATGCCACAACAAGCTAGCACAGCTTGATGATGCTGGCCATTAAAATCACCCAACTTCCAGGCACCTGGGTGACTTAGTTAGTTAAGCAGCTAAAGGTCGGCCTTTGGCTCAGGTCGTAATCCTAGGGTCCTGGAATGGAGCCTCTGCTCAGTGAGAAGCCTGCTTCTCTCTCAAAAATGGGTAAATAAAATCTTTAAAAAAAAAAAAAAATCACCCAACTTCTTTTCTCTTATTTCAAGCTTGCAAAGGAAACTTTTGCAAAGTGCCTACAGAATTTCCTGTAGGGAAAGAATGCATAAGCCAGACAATGCAATAATTGGTCAGTTGGCAGATCTCTTGTTTTAAATAAATCAATTGGCGTCCTAGACAATGCATCATACCTTATGATTTCGTAAGCATGAATTGGTCTTAAGAGACCTGCCCTTCCTGAGAGTACAGGACCTGTCCTGAGCCTGCTTCCTGCAGATTCATACCCTGAACTATAGAGGACACCATGAAAGTGACATCCCTCACCAGCCATACAAGTAGCCAGGCCTCTTTGATGTTTTTGGCCTAATCTGAGTAACTTCCATAAGGTTTTCCTCCCAGATCTGATAAGCTACTGCTTCTAATGGGGTGGTTTAGGGGGCTTGAAATTAGTAACTGAGTATTTTGACATCCTAATGCTCTACAAAGTGGTAAGACATCAGCTTGTTGTCTAGAACTTCTTTCAGTCTCTTAATTTTTCATGTCAGAATATATTGATTCATGGGTAATTCCTGATCTTCTTTTGTAAAGCTATAAATTCAGAAAAATATGCTAAAATAACCAAATGATAGCCCCGAGGTAGAATAAAACAGTAAGAGAGACACCTACTGGTCAGAACTTGCCACACAGAATGTGTCCCAAGCCTCCAGCACAATGCTTGGCTCATAGTAGTTCAATTAATACTTTTGAAAATAATAAAAGAATAAATGGCCAATTTTATTCACTAATGCAGGCAGATAAGGCAACTAAATTTGTGCCACTTAAATGACAGTATGATACTCCCTACTTAATCTGAAAAATTTTGTCTCTAAATACCAAAGTCTCTAAAGTTTTCATCCTAAAGAGCATGCATTATCCTCATACATTTGTGACTTCTGAGTAATCATTTTTTTAAAGATGTTATTTATTTATTTGAGAGAGGGAGAGAGAACAAGCAGAAGGAGGGGGAGAGAGAGGGAGAAACAGAGTGCCTGCTAAGTAGGGAGCCTGATGAGGGGCTGGATCCCAGGACCCTGAGATCATGACCTGAACCGAAGGCAGAGGCTTAACCAACTGACCCATCCAGGTGCCCAATGCATAATCATTTTAGAGATATTACTTCATAACCAGAACCCAACCCTGAGGAAGTGCATGCTCTTTCCAAACTCTGTGGGATAGACCATGACTACATCTCCAGAAAGGTGAGCTTCTTGGGGTCTTTGCACAACCTATTTCATGCTAAGACAGAAAGCACTAATAAGGAAAAAAATGGGAAAAATGTCTGTGCCACTTAGCACTTGAGTTCATTCCCATGCTATGCACAAAATTAGACAAGGAGAATCAGAGCTTCACTGAGACTCTACCATGTTCCTTTCATGACTTTTAAATATCACAGGGAGAAGATCAAGAGAAATGTTCCTGGATCAAGAAATCTGAGCAAATTAAGCAGTATGGGTTAGATTACTGGCCTTATCCTTTATTGACAAAATATAATCTGCCTCCCAACATTTCCCTTAGACATATAAAAATAACACCTCTATTGTAGTCTACCTTGTTTAGTGAGGATAAATTCATTAAAGAAGATAAAAATGCCTCAGAGATATGCTGCAATTCACTACCATGTTTTTGTCCTGGAAAGAGAACTCAAAGAAATGCTGATGGTATCAGGAAACCATCTATCTTCGGAGCCAAGAATGTCCCTATGACCCAAAACAGACTGAGTTCTGGCATGGTAAATGTAGCAGAGAGACATCTCAGGATGAGGGACAGAATAAAAGAAAGTCAAGAGCCCAGGGAAGTACATAAGCAGAATGCACATTGAAAGACAAAACATAATCTGATTAAAGAAAGCTGTCCACTCTCCACACTCAGCACCTCCAAGTTTACCAGCCGCCACTGTATTATCCTCTTTCATCTTCTAAACTAGACTAACCCAGCTGCTATATAAAGGAAAATTTCTCTTTCTGACAGCTATTTCCAGAAACATCAATCACGTGGAGGTGAAATTTATCCTTTCTCATTCTCTTCCCTCAAATGCCCTGATTGGCTGTTTGACATATGCAGATTTTCAACATAAGAAATAATAGTATCAATCCTCATTAAGATCAACCAAAATAAAGATATTTCAGAGAAACTCAGATACCCTATAAAATTTCTTCTTACAAAGCCTGGAGCTGAAGTTTTGAAGTATACCAGGAAGATGCATTGCTGACTCACTTCAAATGGGTAATCTACTAACTTAAAATAATGTGTGCACCTGGAGAGGTACAAAGCAAATAGAAAATTCCATATGGATATAAATGCTTACAGAGAGGGAGAAAGAGAGTGGTTATGTATTATATAAATGGACTATATCTGTGCCACACATTTATTCACCCACAGTCCAGAATACAAGTATACCAAAAAGTTAGGAATCAATTCCATCAACAGGGTAATAACTGACAATACTGAACAATTTTGTTAACCTAGGTTAACAATTCTCTCATAAAATCTAATGGCTTCATATTGGTATCTGTGTCCCTATAGAGGACTTAGCATTCAGTCACTGGATATCATTCTTTTGGTCATAACATGACCAAAAACTCTCATAACCCTGATCAAAAGTCTCAGGGTTAAACATGAGAGTTTGGGTTGTTTTAATATTCTAATCATGCCAAGAGGGCAACAACTAAACAATCAGGCCTTTCAGTTGAGTACTGATCAACAACACATATACCTATAACATATACACACAGAACAGTTTACATACACTTAAAATACAGAAACCAAAATTCTGAGTACCTTGGTCAAAATATCTGAAACCTCCTAGTTATATAACTTATGGCAAATCAATTTGTCAGTCTCGGGCAAAATATCCTCACTTCCAGAAGGAGAATGACTAGTAATCCTCATTTTCACTATCTCAAGTGGATATTAAGAAAATAAAATGAAAAAATAAGAAAGAACCAGTAATTTGACAGATCTATGAAAGCATTTTTCATTAGATTCTGTGTTCCTAGAGGAAATAAACCGAGTTATTAATTTTTGTAGGTATAGGGTTTGTCCAATTAGTAGGCACTTAGTAAACACTTAAATAACATAAATAAAAATGAGGAAGTCAGAAAGCTCTTTTCAAATAAAAAATATTACGATGAGGTAGTATTACTGTATGTCTAAACACGTCCATAGTTTACACATAAATTTGCTTCATGAATTCTATTTACACATATCAATCTTGTAAGAGAAAATGAATTTTAAATAAATTTGAATCCAAAAACAAAAACGGACAAGCAACCTCCAGAAAGGGTATTGATTATGTTTTTATATTACGCCCTTTCTAAGAAATTCCAGAGAGCAGCTGTTTTTGCAAATGAACTACTATAGAGATCAGCTCTCTCCCTTTTCTAAGAAATTCCAGAGAGCAGCTGTTTTTGCAAATGAACTACTATAGAGATCAGCTCTCTCCCTTAGTGACATTTGATTATATTATTGAATGACATAGTACCTTGAGAGTGTTTACATTACTGGTGGGTTTTATTCCTATTTTAAATTAAGTGTAACTCAAATATTTAACAGTCAACAGTCTATGACAAGGATCTGTATACTATAGCCTTCGAGCTAAATCCAGCCCAGTGTCTATGAGTTCACAGATTTTATATTTTTAAGTAGTTGAAAAAATAAAAACAAGAACAATATTTTGGACATGTGAAAATTACATGAAATTCAGATTTCAGTTTCCATAAATTTTTATTGGAATATAGCCATGCTCATTCATTTTGAGTGTATTATCTATATCTATATTCATTTGATGGCTGAGTTAAGTAGTTGCAACAGAGAAGAAATGGCCTGAAAAGCTTAAAATATTTACTAACTAACCCTTAAGTAAAAAAGTTTGCCAACCCCCAATCTGTAAGGAGATGGATGCTAATTTTGAAAGTTATAAAAGAATTGAGCCATGCTCCCTTGGAACCTAGGGCTACCGAATTTTCTAAACTATCTTTTCAATCTGTGGACTGTATGAAAAGTACCAAAAAGTACTCTACCTGCCATTTTCCTTGGGGGACCTGAAAATAAAAATTAAACATGTTAAGTAGAGTTTAAGACAGTTATAATTGTCACATCATTCATCAAAGTGCAAGTTCTTAATCTATTTCTTCTACAATGTTTCTTTAAATCAAAATGTTTGCATAGTATTAGATGTTGACAAACTGATGTAGATTGAAAGTAGCAAACAAAAGGGGAGACAAGATTCTATTTTAAAACTGACAATATTTACTCTCTTTAAACTGACAATATTTACTATCTTTAAACCATTCATATAAGGTTTTCTCTTTGTAAATAATTTTTTTTTCCAGTAGATCCGCAGACAACTCCAGTTGCTGGTATTTAGCAAAATTAGGAAACATTTTCTTTTTTTTGGTAGACAATGTGTCATGTAATTTAAAATAAAAGAAAACCAGATGTTATACAGAAAGATACTAAGGGACTGGGAAAGGTCAGGACTGAACCACAGAGTACTGTATGGCCTTTAATATTTACTTATTTTATGTAGCAGACAATAGATCTTCCCATGTGCCAGAAAACTGTGCTAAGTGTTTTATAAAAATTAATTCATTTAATCTTCATTAAGATTATTAAGGACCATCAGAGTCCCCATTTTACAGGAAATAAACTGAGGAACAAAGAAGCTACATAATTTACCCAGCATTTCAAAAGTATTTTTGGTAAAGCAGAATTATAGTAAATTCTCTTTTTTACATAAATTAAACTTTAAAAACGTGTAATTTATCTAAAATCATCCAGCCAGAAGTGCCAAAAGCAGGATTTCAACCCAGGGAAGTTGGTTCTAAAGGCCATGTTGCCTTTTATGTGCTGCCAGATGAGAGAGGTCTTCAAGGGCCTCACATTCTTGGGTTCTCCTATGAGCTTTAGTCAAACTGGAGGCGGTATTCTATGAGAAGTGCTAAGGTTGAACTGGGGACTGGTCAGGGTGTGAGAGTAGGTGGTGGGTCAATTTACCATGCTTGCCCTCTCCCCTGCACAGATAACTAGCTGAGTGTCTTTTGGTAAATTATTGAAATTCCCTGTGCTCTGGTGTCCTTATTGGAACAGCAACAACAACAAAAAAAAAAATGAAGATACTAATAACTATCTCATAGCATGGCTGCTGGGAATAAATGAGTTATATAGATATGAAGCCTGGCGTACTGTAAATACTATGTAAGTGCTTGTTAGTATTTCTGGTAAACCCCGAAGTTGTGATTAGAGAATATGCCAAAGGTAAGATATAGGCCCTATATAGATTATGCTTTGAAGTTACACAGTTTCCTTACTCATGCTCCCCTGCACGCAACAGCTGGGTCACAACTATTCTCCAATTGCTCCAAACCTTCCCAGTACTGAGTCTAGCATGGGGTTTAAGAGTAAGAGCTGTAAAGGCAGCAACCAGGTATCAAAATCCCTCTCCCACCACTAATTTAAAAGCTTTCTGACTTCGGGCTAATACTTCATCCTTTTAAACCTGTTTGCTCTCTGCAAAATGAATATTAATAATAATATTTATTCTGATTAAGTTAGCTCAGGAATATAAAGTCCCCGATACAAAGCATTCACTCAGAAAACATTAACAGGTATTATGCTGTTTTAAGCAGAGAAGAGATGTCTTAAAAAGAGGTCTCTGATTTACTTAGAACTGTTATGTTTGAAATGAAGACAAATGCATCCCCTCCAGAATGGCCTTACAGTAAGATGTCAAAGTCACCTCAGCAGAACACTGACAAGATTTAGTAGGAAGCCAAAATAATCTCTAATGTGACTTCAGGCTCCTCTCATTGCCAAGGAAAAGCAGTGTAACTTGTCAACGGCAAGCTGGGAACATGAATCCCAAAGTTCTTATCTGCCCAACAACAGATCTAGTAGGTCTCCTTGAATATATTCCTTGGCCTTTTTCTAATTCAGTTTCCTCTCCTGAAAAACTATCATTAAGAAAACACATTTACCAGAAATAGTATTGAAATACAACATTCATTTGTTTTTAGAGCATACATAATAAACACAAAAAGATATTACATCGAAATAAAGAGTGCTATTAAACATGCACATTTTTAGAATCTATTTACCTAAAGTCAAGTACACGAATGTCCTTATAGCCTGGTAACCCAGTAAATGCATTTTCAACCTGTTAAAAATAAAAATAAAGTTTATAGCTATGTAGAAATGTGAAAAAGTACATAGAAAATACTGTTTTAATTTAAGAGTTGAATATAAAGTGCACTGTTTATAACTAGTAGAAGCTTATATACATATACAGATACATAGTAGGCAGAAAGTTACATAAGAAAATTATAATAGCTTACAATGTTAGAAAATAGTTTTTAACACAACACTGTCATATTTTTCTTTTACATTTTTGTCTTTTAAAGTTTTAATGTATTTTAATATTAATTTTTTTCCAAATTATGAAAAGCAACTTCTTACTGGCAAAGCACTGCTTTTTCCCTTGTGGGATAAAATGTAGAAAAAAGCATTAGTCTCAAGAACAAAAAAAAAGCTTTAACATTTTTAAATGTAATTGTTTGGATTAGAAATCTGGCCACAGCATACACACTGACAAACAGTCATGTGTTCATTTTCTGTGAGTGTGAAGTATCTGATGGCATCTGTTTCCTGTTCCTACCAGACAAGGGGAACTGCAAGCAAAGTCAACATTAGAAACTAGTCCACAAGCTGAAGCTCAGGCCCCAGGAGAGAGGCCCTGTTGACCGGGTGTCATGAGGAAGGTTATGAAGCTTTGACCAGGTAATTCAACTGGCCAAAAGATCAATTTATGGGGCGCCTGGGTGGCTTAGTCATTAGGTGTCTGCCTTTGGCTGGGGTCACGATCCTGGGGTCCTGGAATCAAACCCCGCATCAGGCTACCTGCTTGGCAGGAAGGCTGCTTCTCCCTCTGTTACTCCCCCTGTTTATATTCCCCCTCTTACTGTGTCTTGCTCTGCCAAATAAATAAATAAAATCTTTTGTTTTTTACAAGATCAATTTATAGAACATCTACAGGAACCAGTTTTATCACTGAGTCTTTAAAATCCAGCCATGTAAATCACGATGAGCTTAGTGACTGGAGATAGGGAAAGAATGCTAACTGGACTAAAAATCTAAAAATAGTCCGGTGATGCATAAAAACATATTTTAACAACACTGAACACTTAGCCCACACTTCAGAAGGTGACAGTCTCAGCAGATAAGTCACTATGGAGCCAACACCAGAATAAGGAAAGAAGTTGTTAGTGGACTGTCGAGCCATCTCTGGGAATCTGCTTTTAAAACCAAGTCTTAATATAATCGGGAAAGTGGGATTAAAAAATAATAATAATAATGGCTCACTGAAGATCTCAATGTCTTAAGGATAAAGAATCCAAACCCAAGTAACTACTTATGATAATTTGCCTTGTTTTATTCTCTTAGAGGAAAGAGAGAAATGCCGTAATTCTTGTAGGAAAGAAGTAGAGATGGAATCTTGCAGGACAGGAATCCAAAAATGAGTTTTTCTCAGCTGTTTCTGCTGGCAAAGTAACTGCATACAAGCCTTATTTTATAGAACTAATACTGCCCTGCCCTTCAACCATATTGGTTTTCATGAGATTAAAATGAATGTACCTGAAAGAATTCCATTAATTACAAAATGTTATACAACTGTATGTTGTTATTATTATTGCTAGACCCATCTCATTTTGAGTTTTGTCATCTCTTGAGTCTAACCACGTACAAGTATTCTAAATCACCATATCTAATTAACTACTGTACAGGTGTCCAGTTGAAAGAATCATTCCACTTTATTAACAACAAGATTAATAATAGGTATTATTTATTAAATGACTTCTATGTGCTTGGTGCTTTACAATATTACTCCTCATCTTTGTAATGTCAAGAGATACATGTTTTCCCAATTTCATACAAGGGAAAATTGAGATAGATGTCAACTAACTTGCCCAGGGTCATATATTTGGTAAATAACTAAATCAGAATGTATTCAACCCAAACCTAATACCAAAGCCAATATTCTTCCCAATGAATTACATGCCTCTTCTTCCCCCTGTCTCATGATAAAAATGTTATAGAATTGAGACCATGCCTGGGAAAACTGTGAAGCTCACTTTAACTTTTTACCTGAACTAAAATTAAGGTGACTCTATATGGTATAAAGGAAGGAACACTTTGAAGGGAAGGAGGAGACTTGATTTTCCCTTCTACTCCTAGAGGTTGAAATGACTATGAATAATTTACTTGGCCTCTTGGCCTCATTTGTACAGTGGAGATCCTTACCCACATGGTTGCTGTGAGCTAACAGACTGAAAGCAACAGGTAGACCATAGGCACTATGCAAGGACACTGTGTTAATACTGTGGCTATCATCAGCTATCAATGCTCCTAACCTTTCTTGCTTACTTTTCTCTCTCTGACATCATACTTGGTGTTGTCCCAAGCTTATCTTACCCTTTTCATAAAAAAAAAAGTAATTGCTCCTGAACCACAATCCTCTCCAATCAGGCTTTCTTTTTCCCTGAATATCTTCCCATATTATTGCCTAGGAAATAATATTAAAGGAGCAATCCCTATGACTGCAACCTGTAGGGAGAGAGTTAGAGGGACCCCCTTCAATGTGCATTAAACACAGAACCTTTCAGAGACAAAATCTCTAACTCGGCTGCTTTACACAGGAAGTGGCTGTTGGTAGACATTTCATTGTAGGTAAGGGACAGGGCTGTAGAGATATGCCAAAGAAACCATTACATGATAGACCCAGACCTTTCATGGCCCCCAAATCACCTCAAGCCAAGAGCTATCTACCTCATAAAGTCTCTGCTGGAGATGTTTTTGAGAATGTTTCTTAGACTTCCTCTAAACACACAGTCATTGAGTGCAATTGTTTATCTAAACACTCAGGCTTACTAAGTTTCCTTAACTCCAAGAGCACAGAGAACCAGACAGCTAATCCAAGACATTATCTGATGCCAGGTGGCCACTGGCCTGGCTGACATTTCTTCTACATACCATACAGCCTTGCAACTTGGCCACACAGATAGGAAAAATAATCGTCTGGCTTACACTCCTTATGTCGGATGGCTGCAGTGATGCTGTTTGGCTGAGAGATGCACATTTCTTTTTCTCCTCTAGACATAGTGTCTAGGGAAGAAAATGAGTCCAATGTAATGGAATTGAAAAACTCAGGCAAGGAGAACCCCATCAAGAGGGAAGGAAAAGAAGTAAACAGGAAGGAATGCTGTGCCCTGTCACTGGACAGAAAGGGAAGCTGGGCACTCAATGCCCTACTACACAAGAGCAACGGCACACAAGAAGTGGGCCAAGTATTAATTATTTTTGACTGAAAGAATCCTGACTTCAAGTCCCATATAGAATTCTTCCAGAAATTAAAGTTGCAGGATAGTCTAAGGCATGATTCTTTAAAGAAAGACCTTTTTAAAAACACCTCCAACCAAGGAACAGAGATAGGAGGGAACTTTACATTTCACCAGATACTCTTTTGTCCTTTTGAACTTGGTACTGTGTACTACTTATGTGTTGACTGCCCCAATTTTTTCAGTTTAGAAAAAGAATTTTAATTGGAAATTAAAACAAATTAAATTTAATGATCCTTTAAGAAAAACAATACACTGTGTATAGTTTCTTAAACATACTAATTTCTCTAAATACTGTCAAGTCAAAACCATGCCATTGAACACATTCTTCTTTGGCTATGCACCAGAAGTTTGGGAACAGTATTTATTTGTTAGCAGATGGTAAAGGTGTGTCAGATTTTGCTTCAATTAAATAAACTCATCTGCCTTTCTGTGACCTTTTTACAGAATGTTCTGAAGAAATAGCTAAGTCACAGCTCCTGAAGCAAATAGAAAAGCTTAATTCCTTAACCTACCTTTAACCAGTCTTGTGACTATGGGAAATTTACAACCCCAGGAAAATGTCTTATTAATTAGAAAGAGAGAGAGAGAAAGAAAGAAAAAGAAAGGAAGGAAAGAAGAAAGGAAGGAAGGAGGAAGGGAGGGAGGGAGGGAAAGAAAGAAGAGAAAAAAGAAAAGAAAAGAAGGAAAAACAAACCCCAAATCATCTACCTCTGAAATAAACTCTTCCGCAAGGTGCTGGTGGTGGAAGTTGGAAGGATCCTGTAGTTCTTCCCTGTATTGCTCTCCCAGAAGGTGTATACTGAATTCTGCAATCTGCTCAGTTGCTGGTTTTGTGGATTCTTCTATCACATTCTCAATTTCATTGCTAATCTGGATTTTTAGAGAAAAAACAATAAATGTCGATGTTTACTCATGCAACCAACAAATATCTACTGATCAGTACATATCAGTACATATCACACTGTGTCAAAAGAAACTTCTAATGATGACCTTTTATACAATATTTGACTTTGGAACTAATAGGATGGACTTTAAGACATAGGCAAACATTAAAATTACCATGCATTTGTACATTCCTTTGAACACACAATGGCTACTTCAAGGAAAGACAGAAAACCTTCAAAGTTGACCATCTTCTATCACATTATCTGTGAGTTTAAAAAGAGTTGACTATGCTAATAGTATCATCTAAAAATAGCCTAGGAGTGTGGTTCTCAAACTTTTTGGTCTTAGGACCCATTTAGACTCTTAAAAATCATTCAAAACCAAAGAAATGTGGTTTTTGTGGGTTTTATCCATAGATATTTACCAGACAAAAAATTGAAGGGGAAATTTTAAAAATATTTATTAATTCATTTAAAAAATAATAAGTTCCTCATGCTATAGAAATAACATTTTGCAAAATAAAAATGAATGAGAAGAGTAACACTTTGTATTTTTATAAGTTCTTTAATTTGGTTGGCAATAAGAAGACAGTGGATTGTCGTATCTGTTTCCACGTTCCATCAGTTACAATACATTGCTTTAGTTGAAATACATGAAGAAAAGTATTAGGGAAGGGACAATTACATTAACAGCCTTTTTAGATACTTGTGGAGATTCTTTTTAGATACTACACCAAATTCAACAAGGTGTGGTTTCTTAAAGATTAGTGACTACATGGAAGTTGAAACTGTATGAACTTTTTGTACTCTGTAACATTAAAATCCATGTCTTCCAGTGGCCAAAGCTCCAACAATTTGAACAAAATAAATAATGGATTATAATCCAAAGAATAAAATAAGTATCCATGGATTCATATTGATAGAAATAAATGATTTAATAAATAAATGAGAAGCAACAACAGTGTCTTAAAGAAGAATTCCAATTAGTAAATGTAGAATGAGGGAAAGAAAATATCACTACTACAACACTACGGTAAGAACTGCTACGTGGAAGATACACTTGAGCTTATCCACCTTAGTCCCTCCATTGTGATACACAAAGGGTTGGAATGGAAGACTTGCTAGCCTAAGGGGTCCTGGCAAGACCATGGCAGAGTCAGGAAGAGACTACAGAGACTTTCTTTCAGTGTATCATTTTTCATCCTTGATATATCATATAATCAGAGACCTTCAAAATTTCAGACTGGGAAAGAACCTCAAAGATCCTACTATTCCTTTGGATGCCTGAATTCTCTCTAGAATATCCCTGACAAATAGTTACTCATCCTGTTTAAATGGCTCTGATGAGAGTCCCGATCTTCAAAGGCAGACCATTACATTTAAAAAAAAAAAAAAACAACAAGCTCTTGGGGCACCTGGGTGGCTCAGCCAATTAAGCATCTGAGTTGGCTCAGGTCATGTCCTGGGATACTGGGATGGAGTCCCACATCAGGCTCCCTGCTCAGGGGAGCATCTGCTGCTCCCTCTCCCTTTGCCTCTGCCCCTCCTAGTGCCCTCTCTCTCTCTCTCTCTCTCTCTCAAATAAAGACAAAAATCTTAAAAGGAAAAAATAAAAAGCTCTCATGTTTGGAAAGCTCTTCAATTTTTTTTTCTTTCTTCTTTGCCCTTCACAACTTGGTTCCTGTTTTGCTTTTCCAGCCCCATCTCCCTTTCCCGCACCTTTCACTATCCTCTCCAGCCATGCTAAATTCCTATTTGTAGACTGAGGAATGTGCTAATTCTCTCTGGCCTAAGTAGTACTCTTCCCTTTGTTTTGAGACCTCAGGCCAAGACCTTTCCCCTTTCTCTTCTACTGGTAACTTCTATTCAACCTTAACTCAGACCTCACCCACACCAGAAAACTTCTCAGAAGAGCCCCTCAAAACTGACCCAATGCTCCTAATGTTCTCCTATTTCCTATTTGCATTTACCCTATCTCTCCTATCTCCTATTTGCATTTACCCTATCATAGCACATAGCACAAGGTAATTATACCGTATGTTTACTCATCGGTATGCCTCCTGAAAGAGTAACTGGCACATTATCAGGCACTCATATTTGGGGGCATTCTTATTAAGGTATAATTGACATATAACATACATTAGTCTCAGGTGTACAATGTGATGATTCAATATTTGTATGTATTGCAAGATGATCATCACAATAAACCCAGTTAACATCCATCACCATACACAGTTACAAACTTCTTTTTTCTTGTGATGAGAACTTTCAAGATCCACGCTCCTAACTACTTTCAAATATGCAACACAGTACTATTAGTCACCATGATGTACACTATATTCCCATGATTTATTCATTTTATAACTAGAAATTTATATCTTTTGACACACTTTACCCATTTCATCCACTTCTACCCAAAATTCTTAATATTAAGCCCAAATATATTTCCCTATAAGCTCCACCACTGATCTCAGTTCTGTAATCTAAGACATATATAAAAACTGTAGTCACCAGAGAGCCCTTCAAATGAGTTAAAACACCTATCAGGACTTCCCTGACTTCTCTAGATCTTCTCCTCCATACATTTCTCAGGCTCTTAATACCTTCCTTAGAGTGTGGAATACACAACTCAGGTCTGATCAATTAAAATATGATAGGATACCACCACCTCTCTTACAATAGATTCTGTATTTCTATAAATGCAACCTAAAATTACACTAGCTTTTACTAGTTTCACCCCAGTAACTGCATCCTACTACTGATTCATACAGAAACTAACATCAACAAAAACTCTTAGTCTTATGGAATTTTATATAAAACTTTGCATTTTTATATTAAATTTTATCTTGCTAACTTTGGACAGAGACTCCATTTGCCATATAATTATAAAAGAAATATCCTTAGTAATCTTGCTGCTACAGAATACCTTAAGTGATGAATAATTATTTTTTAAAAGTTTTTAAGGCATAGCTGGTTTATAAGAAAGTAAAGAAAATGCCAAGGGGTCTGGAAAAACAGGTTAGAAAAATCCAGAGAGGTGAATCAGTATTGTGTGAATACATGGTATATCCCCTGATACTTTATAATCTAGGCTTTAGTTTTATATACCACAAAGGGATAGGATAAAAAGCAAAAGGTGTGTACATGTTGAAAGGTCAGATCAAAGACTCCCAAATAATAGTGAAGATGATGGCTGCATTTGTGGTGAGCATAGAATAAGGGCAGACTTGTCAAATCACTACGCCATATACCTGAAACTAATGTGACATTGTATATCAACTATACTTCAATTAAAAAAAAAAAGGCTCACCCATAAAGCAAGGATACTAAAAACTCAACAGACAATTTGAATAACAAATCAAACTAAGCTGAAGGAACAATTAGTAAACTGGTACCTGAAGAATTAGGAAACACATACCTGAATCTAATGCAGAGAGATAAAGAAATGAAAATATTAAAGAGTGGTTAACAAACATAGGGGAAAAAGGAGGAGGCCAGAGGTTCTAGCATACAAGATAAGAGCTAAGAATTTCTCCCATACCATTTGTGAAACTGCAGAATGCCAAATGCCATATAGTATACCAGTATATATATTTGTAGTATATATACTGTAGTGCATACTATAGTATACTTATGTAAAAGTATATATAAGTAGTGTGTATGTGCACGAACATGTGTATGTGTGTGTGTGTGTGTGCATGTGCACGCGCATATAGTGGTATAATATATAGTATTTCACAAAAAAATGGGTATAGGAGTATAATTATTTATTTTGCTTTGGATTTGTTGTACTTCCTTAATGTAAAGCCTTACAAATACTATAAATTCTAAGAAATGTTCAGCTGTTACGTCTTATGATTAGATGTACATAGACAAAGATATATAGAGAGGAGACAGAGATAGATCTTAAAAGTAGACAAAGAAAACAGCCAGAGGGAAACTGATACACAAGTGAAAAATAACTGAACTGATAGTTCTCAGTAGCAACAACAAACGTTAGAATATAGTGAAATAAAAACGTGACAAAAAAAAAAAACCTCAGTCTAGAATTTAGTACAGATTTATAATTTCTTTCTAGAATAAGGAGATAATAAAGAAATTTTCAGATGATCAAAAACTCAAAATGAACAAATGAGAGACTCTTACTAAAGTAATATCAGGAGCATATATTCCCAAAAGAAAATTATCCTAACAGATAGGCCTAAAGTGCAAAAAAGAATTTTAAGAAAATAAAATAATAAACTTCCATGTAAATGTAAAACAGATTTTATCCAAAACAAATATAACACAATCCAAAAAAAAAAAAAGAACAAATACAGAGACTCCAGGTGGCTCAGTCTGTTGAGCATCCAATGTTGAGCATCTGACTCTTGATTTCAGTTCAGGTCATGACATCAGGGTCTTGGGATCTGGCCCCACATGGGGCTCTGAGATTGGTGCAGAGTCTGCTTGTCACTCCCTCTCTGTTCCTCCCTCCTTCTCTCTCTCTTACTCAAATAAAGAAATAAAATAAAATAAAGAAATAAAATAAAATAAATAAAATAAAAAAATTTTTAAAAGAACAAATATAATACAATCTAATTTGTGGGATTGAAAAGAAAGAATTAAAAGAGAGAAAGAAAGAACAATAATATCAAAAAATAGAATATAAAGCAGTAGGGTGATTATTTGAATTACAATGTTCTAATATTCTTGCATTGCTTAAGATAAGGATGAAGATTTTGAAAAATTTAAATTTTGCTAGATTATACATTACAACTTATGGGGTAACTTCCAGGGTAAATATTATATATATATAATATAAATATTATAAATACTACACATAATATATATATTATATAACTTATAGGGAAACCACTAACAAAACAGAAATAAAGTATATCATTTCTATAACAGTAGATGGAAAATGTATTAGGGAAAAAACTGAACTGTAAAAAAAAACTGAACCTTTAGGCTTCATCTTGAACTAGACATACAAGCAATCTAATTCTTGTTAGGGATCTATACTGCTTTGTTTTCTTACTCATTCTATAAATTGGCTTCAAATAGTCTTCTCTTTTGGATATTAATATTCCAATTGATTATATATAAGTCTTTTACTTCTATTACAGGGAATTCTATCTCATTCTATGAATATTTCCAGACCTAAACCCACAACTATTTTGCTTCAAGTTCAGAACCACAAGATCACTTTTTACTCATTCATTCATAAATATTTATTGAATGACAGTATTTCCCAACACCATCTACTCTGGAGAAAATTTATAGAAGGTGAATGTATTGATTCCAGCATCCACTCATGGATCCCACATTACTACCACCCTTATTCGGTGACAGAGAAGTGGTGGGGCAGAGTGGGGTGAATTAACTGTATTTCATATAAATTAAAATGTCCAACCTGGAAAGAAAAGGTACAAGGTAACTAAATTACACATTTCTAGTGAATGTGTTCAGTCATAGTTTGTACTACATTAAATAATCTAGGATTATGAACCCCAAATTTTAATAATTCATGTTTAACAAAATTTCTAACAAAATATTTCCAGCTTCCTGGGCAGCCTTTGTACTTTAAAAAAAAAAATCTCTCACAGCGCCTGGGTGGCTCAGTGGGTTAAAGCTTCTGCCTTTGGTTCAGGTCATGATCCCGGGGTCCTGGGATCGAGCCCCGCATCGGGCTCCCTGCTGAGGAGGGAGCCTACTTCCTCCTCTCTCTCTGCCTATTTGTGATCTCTGTCTGTCAAATAAATAAATAAAATCTTTAAAAAAAAGAAAAGAAAAGAAAAGAAAAAGAAAAAAGATTTTAAAAAAACTCTTTTCAAATGCATCATTATTAAGCACAGTATTTCTTGATTTTTCAGTTACATAAAATCTATATCCTTTCCCTCTGAAGAAGAGAAGACTAAGTCCTGATCTATTATGGGATAGAAGAACATAGGCAAAAACCCCATGGTAAATTATGTCACATAGCCCACAAGAGACAGTGAGTTTACCATGATGACAATTCTCCAGTTTCCAAGTCATTTCATTTACAAGTTGAAGCTCTCTTGCAAAGCAGATTGATTTGGCTTTTCAGGGATTTTTAGATTCTTTTTAATACACTGGTTTTAGAATCCACAATATTTCCGTAAAGGAAACCACATGAAGTCTTGTGCAGTTTGGCAATGGAATATAAGTCTCTCTTAACCCCTGTTCTCCACGTCAGAAACGAAATAACAAAACACAGCGTCACTCACACTCACGTCAGGCCTCTCCTTGCTGCTCTCTGAGGTACCTTCAGAGGTAGTCACCTCTGGATATGGAGCACTAAGAACAGCACCTAAGTAGGAAAACAAAGTCAGTATACGAATTCAGAATCATATCAGGAAATACCAATCTGACTTCAAAACCATTCCTGTAAGTCATTTGCTTTTTCATCCTGGAAATTCAGTACATTCAAACCTTAAGACATATTTGCATAGAGTCTCCTAGAACAGAATATAATTATAACTCATTCATTCATTCAGTGGCATATAATGAGCTTACTATATGTCAGTCACTAAGCAATTGCTAAGGATACAGACAAAATTTTTATCCTTAAAGAGCTATCTATTAAAGGGGACAGACACTGAAAAAAGTTAATAGCACCTTGGTGAGTGCTGTTAAGTGTGTAAGCCTAATGATTCACATACCTATACCCCTGGGGCTAATAATACTTTATATGTTAATTAAAAAAAAGAAAAGTAATACCACCAGACAGGAAAAGTGGGTGATGGTTGGAGACTGGCTATGAATTGATAATTGTTGAAGCTGGCCTCGTTGTATAATTCTACTTTTTGCATATGTTTGAAATTTCCAAGAAATAAAACTTTTTTAAAAAAATTAAAAATGAAGAAAGCAACTACTAATTCATAGGAGATACAGAGATCAAAGGAACATGTTAAAGTACCCCACAGAATACAATCCGAAACATCTTCATTCTGAGAAACTCTTTCAGGACAAATGACAACTGGTGGAACTAGAAAGGTTCTACCTGTTGACATAGGTAATGGTTACAGTGTTTGCCTTAAAGTAATTCTTTAGCTCATACATTTGTTTTAAGTAGCTTTCTGATTTTCATTAGACTTAATAATTAAATATCTTTAAGTACTCACAACATAGTGCCATAGAATAAATGAAAACACAGTTACTTCTTGAGATTCTTGAACAACACATAAGGAAAGAGAAACCTAGTATTTTTTAAATGTGAGCTGAAATGTGTGCTTGCTTGCAAGATCATCTTAAGCCATAAATAATTTAAAAAGAAAAGTGAAGCCTGATGATTCACAGACCTGCACCCCTGGGGCAAATAATCCATTATATGTTAATAAAAAAGAAACAACAACAAAGAAAAGTGAATAAATGTACAAGAGCATACCTCCCGATGTTGAGGTATCACCAACAGGAAACGGAGATGATAATTCAGGGCTAAGGTTAAAAAAAATGTTTAAAGTTAACAAAGATGATAGAAATATATGGATATATTTTGAAGTCTGTTTTCCAAAAAAGGAATTCACTACATCTCCAAACTTGGTTCCCAAACCCAAGTAAGTACTTATTTAACAAAGTTAAAAAATAATAGTCCTCATAATTCACTTATTTTACATGTATTGATTTTTGCTCAAGTAGAATCACCCTACATAAAGTACTCCCCTACTTACTATTCTATAAGCCTGTTTGATTTTTTCTCAGTTATTATCAGTATGTGAAATTATGTGTTGACTTATCTACTTCTTTATTTCTGTCTCCAATCTTTTAATCCTCTAGAATGGCATTGGCATGGTAGTCACTGGACTTATGTGCTAATTTAAGTAAAATTAAATAAAGTTTAAAATTCTGATCCTCCTTCACACTAGCCACATTTCAAGTGCTCCATAGTCACATGTGCCTAATGGCTCCCATATGGAACAGCATAGTAAAGAATATTTCCATCATCACAGAAAGTTCTATTCAATAGGACTGCTGTAAGAATATAAATTCTATGAGAATAGGAACCTTGCCTGCCATATTCTTATTCTACCTCCAGCCTAAACTAGTACCTGCCATTTAGTAGACACTAAACAGATATTTTTAGAATGAAAGAATAAACAAATACTATTAGCCAGGGAGTGGACAAGACATCTGGCATACAGCTGTGGATAAACACATGATCTATTAAAGTTACAGTGTTACAGGAAATAGGCAATAAGTAAATGATTACAAATGTAACAAGTAGTGTAGGCAGGAGAGTACTTGTTGCTAAGGAAAAAAATATAAGCACAGATCTCATGTCATTGGAGAAATCATAGAAATCATAATTTTTTTTATATAAAGAAAGTGAAGCTTAGAGAAATGACTTGCTGTAGGCCACACAGCTAACAGACTGCAAATCACATAGCTATCCTTTCACCATGCCGCTTTGCAACTACAAGAGAAGATCAAAAGGTAATCTGAGCAGCACTGAGGTGGCTCAGTCATTTGTCTGCCTTCAGTTCAGGTCATGATCCCAGAGTACTGGGATCAAATCCTGGGACTAAGCCCGGAGTCAGTCTCCCAGCTCAGTGGGAGTCTGCTTCTCCCTCTCCCACTGTCCCTCCCCCTTAAATAAATAAATAAACTCTTTTTTTTTTTTTTAAAGATAATCTGAGAAGTCCCTTCTAAAGGAAAGAAAGTGGATTTCTCCAAGTCCAAATTTCCACTTAACCAAAAATATAAAATTTAAAGTGCAGTAATTTTAGGAAGTTTTATTTATTTGTTTTAAAGTTTTATTTATTTAAGCAATCTCTACACCAAATGTGGGGCTCAAACTCATGACCCCAAAATGAAGAGTCGCATGCTCTCTGACTAAGCCAGCTAGATGCCCCTTAAGAAGTTACAGAACTTGGGGCGCCTGGGTGGCTCAGTGGGTTAAGCCGCTGCCTTCAGCTCAGGTCATGATCTCAGGGTCCTGGGATCGAGTCTCGCATCGGGCTCTCTGCTCAGCAAGAAGCCTGCTTGCTTCCCTCTCTCTCTCTGCCTGACTCTCCGTCTACTTGTGATCTCTGTCTGTCAAATAAATAAATAAAATCTTTAAAAAAAAAAAAAAAGAAGTTACAGAACTTGAAAATTTGTGATATGTTCTAAGGGAAAAGAGATGTTCTGTTAACCTTTTACAAAGGAGTTACATGGTGATTCCATCTGTTGGATAGTGATTACATTACTATTAAAAGTTGAAAACTATCTTCAGCTTTATACTAGTGAGCTTCCTCAGGTGATTCGATTATAGGCAAAAATATCTCCATCATAGGGGTGCATGGGTGGCTTAGTCAGTTAAGTGTCTGCCTTCAGCTCAGGTCATAATCTCAGGGTCCTGGGATCCAGCCCTGCATTTCCCTCCCCTGCTCTCCATTCATTATCTCTCTCTCTCTCTTTCTCTCTGTGTCTCTCTCAAATGAATAAATAAAAATCTTTAAAAAAAAAATGTCTCCACAACAGACTTGCCAATGTGCCAATGAGTCCTATCTTCAGACAACTCCTTTAAATTGCCCTGTTGCTCTCTAAATTATGTCATGGTGGTGGGACAGGAGATTACTCAAAGCCACCAGATAAACACAGCATACATGTTGAAGCATCAATTTTACTTGAAGCATAGGCAGGTGAGGAATAAGTAAGAACTGATGTGTAATTCAAAACATTTTCATATTAAAACAAATTAAATTGTGGAATTTAATATAAAGTTAAAATTAAAATTAAGATATTAAATATGGGGGCGCCTGGGTGGCTCAGTGGGTTAAGCCTCTGCCTTCAGCTCAGGTCATGGTCTCAGGGTTCTGGGATCGAGCCCCGCATCGGGCTCTCTGCTCGGCAGGGAGCCTGCTTCTCCCTCTCTCTCTGCCTGCCTCTCTGCCTCCTTGTGGTCTCTCTGTCAAATAAATGAATAAAAAAAAATTTTTTTAAGATATTAAATATGATAATTCAAAGATATTTTATCACTAGAACTGGACTGGGGAAGTCAACTAGGACCATGTTCCCCAAACTCCCAGGCTTTGGTAAAAAAAATTGAGAAACTGGGGCACTTGGCTGGCTCGGTTGGTAGAACATGCAACTCTTGATCTTAGGGCTGTGAATTCCAACCCCACAGTGGGTATAGAGATTACTTAAAAAAATAAAAAATCTTAAAAAAAAAGAAAAGAAAGAAAATTTGAGAAACCGAGTTTTAAAAAATCTCATAAAGATTTTTCTTCTTTTTAAAAATATTATCTAGAAAGAATAACATATTAAACTCTTACACCAAAACTATCACTTTTGGTTATTTAGAAGCATTTGCAAGAAATTGCTTCTCAGTGAGCTGTCATCTAAAAAAACCTAAGGAATACGATATCTGGATAAGTCATTATGATGAGGGATGAATGGAGAAAGGGCCTAAATGATGAGAAAGCATCAAGAGACTTCTCAGGTTGCAGGGAGTAGAGCTAAAATAAATAAGATTCAAATGCATTTGAGACAGATATTAACATAATTAGATCTGAAAAGAGTCTATCAGTTGTCCACAAGGCAGAATGCCTTGCCAATACCTTCATTTAATAGAGGAAAAAAGTCCAAATGAATAAAGCAATTTTTCCTGGATGACACAATGATTTGATATGGCCCAAGGCCTAAAATTCCTAACCATATCTAATTACCTTTTCAATAATAACAACAGCAAGAATGAGTACCACTAAATTTATCATGTGTCAAGCACTGTCTTAAGTGTTTCTTCTTGGTTAACTCATTTAATTCCAGCAACAATCTTAAAGGGGAAATACTATTATCCTCATTTATACATAAGAGGAAACTAATACTAGAAGAGGTTAAGAACTTGTTCAGAGTCACACGGCTAGACAATGGAGGAGCTATGATGTAAAACAGGCCCATCGGATTCCAGAAACCTCTCTCTCACTCATCTTAATTTCTCACAACATGGCCTTTACGTGAGCCATATTGACTAGAAGGGCAACCAACATGGTTTCACTTGGTTGTAATAGTAATGGCCTACATAAACTTAACAACCTAAAAGTCAAAGTATATAAAGTCCCAGAAAAAGGAAGGGAAACCCAGTAAAAGTTGAAGAGCTCTGGAGAGCAACCAGGCATGAAGAGCAAAAAGGTCAAAGTAAGACAGAGGGGCCAAAGCATAACACAGTAACTAGAACAGGAAGTTGGGATGACATGGCAAAGTAACAAGACCTCAACAGGTTTCAGTCAAATTATCCCCCACATCAAGATCACATTTGTTAAATAAGTCACAGGGATGAAGAAGAATAACAGGAAATATAGTCAATAATATAACAATAACTTTGTATGGTGACAGATGGTAACACACTTATGGTGGTAAGAATTTTGTAATGTATAAAATTGTTGAATAACTATGTTATACACCTAAAACTAATATAATATTATATATCAACTATGCTTCAATTAAAAATAAAATTTTTTAATTTAAGAAGAGAATTACTGCAACTAAAAATAAGAAAATAAGTTAAATTTCAGATAATTCTCTAAGGAAGTATTTACAACAGAGAAGTTTGTTTACTTCAGTAGAACTAGATTTCACTTACTAAATTCAGAATAACATTTTAACGATGGTAAGTAGGCAATGCTCAGTAATTCAAATCTCTTGTCTAACAGTCCAATGCTTAATCCCTCATTTTCCCACTCTCCTTTCAAAAAAACAGTGGAAAAAAAAAAACAAAACCCACTTAACAAGAATCCTTTCAACATGTTCTCATTAGGTATGCCTCCTGCAGGGATCCCCTAAAATGTCACAACAGAACAAGGACACAAAGTTGCATTGAGTTTGGAGACAGAAATACTACTCCATTTCTAGGCCAAACCACAAATGTGAAATTGTTCAGCTAAGACCTTTAGCTTAATACCAGCAGCGAACAACCTTCTACTTTTCCTCAGCTGGTCCAGCACATTAATTTATTCCTCACGTCTACTACCTAATCCTATCAGAATTCAGGTGAGATGGCACCAAAAGATATCAGAGACACACCGAGCATAAGTTTAAAAACAAGCCAAGCATAATTTCCAATCTAGATTACTACTTCCCTTGACAATTTTCTATACTTTGCTTTACTCTTGAATCTGTTAACTGTGATCAGCACAGGACAACAAAAGAACTCAAGGCACAGGGCCAGGAATCCTGGGTACTGGTCCCAGAAGTATCATTAACTTTGTTATGCCTTAGAAAAATATCTCAGTTCCTCTGGGCCACAAGAACTTAATCTCGAAAACAAGAATACTTCCCTACACTACCAATTTCCCAAAGGTATGATGGAAGCTAAATAAAATATTATATATGCAGAAGCATTATAAAAATATGAGAGGCTAAACAAATATAAGAGAAAACAGAGAGTAATGGAACAGGGACACATGTCCCAAACAGAATAACACATCTGCTTAAAAAACATATATTATTTGGCTTTGTGACAGACATCCTCAACGACAAATGTAAGTTAATTGAGGTACCAAAACAAACAAACAAAAAAAAATGCCAAAGAACAGTCTTTACACCAAGAATATCACCAGAGACCTGATAATAAACTTGAGTAATTGAGCAGAAACTCAGTTATTATTTAACAACTATTCAGTGAGCACATATCCCAGGTGGTGGTTTGTACTGGTTTTTGAGACTTCACAGTAAGTCCAGAAAGCATGGGGTTAAGCATGGACTGGAGCTGAGTGGAGATGCTTTCAAGATACCCAGCTATAACATACTGCAAATGCTGGAGAAGGGCCTTTTGTAAATAGGTAACATGGGAAAGACTTGAGTGTGCTCAAATGCTAATAAGGAGTTAGTAGTGGGAGAAGCTGAAGACTTAAGAAAAACAGAAACACTGGTAGATGTGTAAGAGGTAAAGTGGGATGTAAGGTCCTAAGTGAGCTGGAAAAAAAAATTTTTTTAAGACACAGGGCAAATGATTATATGGGAAGCTTAAAGTGATAGAAAACAGAGTATTTGGTCCAAGTCATATGTCAGCAGGTGGGTCAGAGTTCATAAAGAAGCAGCAATTTAAATCAAAAAGTATGATAAGTACAATAGTAGCCCCTCAAAGACAGCCACATCCTACTCGCCAGAACCTGTGAATATGTTAAGTTACGTACAAAGGGGAATTAAGGTTGCTAATCAGTTGGCCTTAAAATAGGGAATGTAACCAGGTTTATCTAGGTGGATCCAGCATAATCATAAGGATCCTTAAATGTGGAAGAAAGGCGCAGAAGAGTGTCAGAGTATGAAATGTGAGAAAGACTTGACCAGCCATTACTAGCTTTGGAGATGGAAGGGAGTCATGACCCAAGTAATGTGGGTAGTTTCTACAAGCTGGAAAGGCAAGAAAACAGATTCTCCCCTACATCTTCCAGAAAGGAATGCAAACCTGGCAACATCTTAGGACCCATGTCAGATTTCTGAATGACATAACTGTAGGGGAAATTTGTGTTGTTTACTACTAAGTCTGTGGTAATTTGCTAGAGCAGCAGTAAAACCCAACATGAGAATCTCAAACAGAGAATACAACAGTAATCTCAAAAAAATCATAAAAATAAATTTGAATATAGAAAAATGATGGGCAAATTAAAGGTTTACTGTAGTACTCAAGCGGGAGAAAGATGGGCTTAGTGAATTCTTAGGGGACTCCCAGGGTTTTGCTCCCACTGTTACCTAACCCCAAGTCACCCTTTTCAGCAACTACCGCGGTTGGCAGTTCTCACCCCACCCCAACCTGGTCTGCTTTAGTTACATGGGAAAGATGCTTTAGAGTTTAAAATTCTCAAAATTCACTTATATTTTCATATGTTATTTTTATACATAATTTTCTAAGAATAGTAAAAATATTTTGAGTCCCTTATTATACCTAGTACAGACAGTGCCTTACCAATATAAGTATATAATCCAGTCCATCCTGCTATGATGCTTATTTGTGAATTTGTTCGAATGTGATTAACACAGTAGGAGACAACTGACGATAGTGCAAAATTTCTCCTTTTCTTATACATAATCTCACTGTGAGAAATACTAGGTAGCTACGGGAAAATGCACCCAGTTGAAGTGAGACCCACAGAAAGACACAAAACTACACACACTACACCTTAAGCCTTTTCCAGCTACCCAAATGGGTGTGTGGTAAGTGTGTGATAAGCCAACCCAACCCCATACGGTGTTATGACCGTCCTACTTAAGATAACCTACTTAAGAAGGAGGACCTTCCACCACTTTATAATAACCCACAGGCTCTACACTTGCTAACATCCACCTCCCAAGTAAACTTCAGAGCTTCTTCCAGGTTTAATGCCATGAGTACAAGCTTCTTAACCATATAAGAGGTGGAAAATGTGCTACCATTTTCATTAGGTACTACCATGATGATTACTAGGACTGGTGGGACTCTTCAGAGTATTTAGTTCACTGCCTGTGTGTTGAATGGCAATCACAAGGAACTACCAAGCTCTGTTTTTCAGGGGTGAAGAGTCAACACCCAAGAAACCGCATGGCCCTTAGTACCCCAATATTCATAGCAGCAATGGCCACAACTGCCAAACTGTGGAAAAAGCCAAGATGCCCTTCAACAGAAGAATGGATAAAGAAGATATGGCCCATATATACAAGGGAATATTATGCCTCCATCAAAAAGGATGAATACCCAACTTTTGTATTAGCATGGACAGGACTGGAGGAGATTATGCTGAGTGAAATAAGTCAAGCAGAGAGAGTCAATTATCATATGGTTTCACTCTCTTGTGGAGCATAAGGAATAACATGGAGGACATTAGGAGAAGGAAAGGAAAAGTGAATTGGGGGAAATCAGAGGGGGAGATGAACCATGAGAGACTGTGGACTCTGAGAAACAAACTGAGGATTTTGGAGGGGAGGGGGATGGGGGTTAGGTGAGCCTGGTGATGAGTATTAAGGAGGGCACATATTGCATAGAGCACTGGGTGTGGTGCATAAACAATGAATCTTGGAATATTGAAAAAATAAAATTAAATTTTAAAAAAAAGAAAGAAACCACATGGCCCAACATCTAAGTGGGTGCTCAATCCCAGGCCCCACCGGAGACTCAGTGCTAACATTAGCTCTATGAACAAGTGAGATCACACAGAATCCCCTTCCCTCCTGTTTACTCAAATTTGATTTGAAACCTATGTATATCCCACTAGCACCCACCTGTAAACCCCAACTATGCTTTTACCTGGACTCTGCTGCCCAGTTTGGATCTCTAGACGCTGACTCACCTAACTGGCTTTTCAGTATGTCTTCCTAATTTGAAGGAAAATTCTGGACTCTGACCTGGATTTTATGCCATAATAATGTTTTCTATAGAATTACCTACATACTGGCACAATCTAGATACTTTGAGTATGGATAGAATTGAAATCATTAATCCTTATACACTCAAAATCTCTCATCTTCCATGAGCTGTTTTGTACCACTATTGCTCAGGAGGCAGAAATGACCTTAATCCTAAGACTAAAGGCTAATAGGCCAAGAATCCTAATATTGGAGGATTCATCAAGGTTGTGTTATTCCTATATTTCGAGCTCATAATCATCATTTCTTTGTAAAGTGATCCATACCACCAACCACCATTTAATAAACTATCTGCCACAAAGCTGTACCATTTCATAACATTTTTACTCTTAGACCACAAGCCTCAACAAAAGTAGATCATTCCATATTCCACTTCCAGAAATCTATTTTCTCACCCAAGAGAAAGGAACAAGTCTACCTCCTGGCAAGGTCAGAAAGTAAACAGGCACAGTGGCTGTGATGGTAGTCTTGAAAGGAAAGTGGCCTCAACATGCAGAAAAGCATTTGGGGCTAACCCACAGTCCTGGTCATTGCAGGAACTGACACGAAAATAGAAAGAGGCCATTAAATTTGGTGTGAATCTTGGAGTAGGCATGACATGTTTCTGTTGCCAAACATGAAATTAGGGGGAAAAAAGACACTCACCTGCTTATAGTTTCCTTGGTATATGTCAGTTTCTAAGGAAAACAAAAATAAAAATGACCCTGTGAGTTCATGACAGTTATTAAGCAGTAAACAGAATTTATTGCATAGAAAACACTAATACCCTAACATTACGTTGTTAGTCTATAAATCTATGCTGTTATTTTCTATGGTTAGACAAATAGTTAAAGCAAGGTACTAAAAATGCCAAGTTTGTTTTGGGACTATGGGAATGTCCTGGCACTAGACTCTCTGTTTATGTTTCCAAAAGTTCTTGTGCTTTTTCTTAATGGGCACAGATTAACAGACTTCACTTGTTAATCATTCCAAAAAGATCTACAAATTGGAGATTGGTAAAATTCTACTTTAACCTTCCATGGACTTAGAATCAAAGTTTTTTTGTGATCTAAAACATTTATAGAAACTCTTAAACCAGAATAATATAAATATGTGGATAAAATAAATGCTAAATCTGTTTCTCCAGAATTCAGACAAAAAGATATATTGTACCAATAATTGGATTATTCTTCTGGGGCATTCCAAAGCAAATTGTCCCTAAGTTTCCTCTAAATCAATGGTTTTATTCTGAAACCAACATAATAAAAAGAACACTAACTTAGAAGACCTAGTTTCAAGTCCCATTTTCTCTTGCTTCGTAATGGAGGCAAAACCCCAAATCTTTCAATTTCTCATCTATAAAATGGAAAGACTATTATTCTAAATAACTCTCATGATATTTATAAATAACTCATTGCTCTCCTTACACTACAAAGTCTCCTAGAATAATCTCAGCCACTCTAAATGCTTTCAATTACCACCTCGGGCCTGGTGACTCCTACAAGCTGTGTTTATAACCCAGACCACTCTCTTTGGCTTCATACCTAAATGCCAGCCAATTCACATTTCACAGGTGGTTCAAAACAACATATTCAAAAGTGAACTCAATCTCCTGCCTCATCTACAAAACTGCTTCTCTCCCCAAGTTCTTGTTCTTAGTCATCCAAACTAGAAACAGGGAGGTTTCCAGGCCATTCCCTTAACCTCTCCTACTCCCATCCACATATCAGAGTCCTGCTAATCTTTTTCCCTATTTGTATCCCTCATGCTTCCTGTATCTCATGTCTAGCTAGGACCCTCAATTCCTCAGGCATGGGGTAGTAAGGGTAGTAACTAGTCCCCCTGATCCCTCTAATTCATCCTATGGTGTATAGAAACCATAATGATCTTTTTAAAATTCAAAACTGTCCAATCAGCCTTGACTCACCAACTTAACAATTCCTCAGTGATTTCCTATCATCCACAGAGTTTTCTACTCTTCCAGTCTGATCTCCTGTCACTTCTAATCTACCCTTCTGGTATAGTGGCCCTAGTCATTCCCTACAACATATGGCTTATGCTGTCCCCTCTCCCTGAACTGTTCCTCCCAAACTCCTCCTCATTCAGCTAACTTGTTATTTAAGACTCAATCCAGATGACATATCACCCACTTTGTTTGCATGTTTTATTACATAGTCATTGAAAGTATACTTCCAATGCATTTTAATCTTCCCTTCTGAAAAGTTCCACTTGTGAAAAATACCTTCCAATGTAACATCACAAGAAGCTCATGTACAGTAATACTACTTTATATCCTATGTATTTGCTGCTCTATCAGCTGGTCCTATAGTCTGGGCACAATTGAGATGGTAACACTGATATAAGTGTAAATGTGTGTGTGTGTGTGTGTGTGTGTGTGTGTGTATTTTTTTACTGAACAGCTATTCCATATTAGCAAATTTGCCAATATTCCATATGACCAAATTTAGCAGTTTGCAAAACTGGTAATGACTGAGAAGGGAGGCACAATGGTAAACAGAAAAAATATAAACTTTTTTAAAAAAGAGAAGCAGGTCTGAATTTAAGCTCCAGACCATCTGGTTTTGTAATCTAGAATAAGGAATAACTCTGATGCTTAATGTGCTTATCTATAAATTGAGGATATTAGTACCTCCTTGTAGGGTTGTTGTTTATTAAATATAATGTTTTAATGGGCTTAATATGTGGCCTGGTACATGGTATATACTAAGCAACTGGTAGCTATTCTCATAATTATTAATATTGAACATTTCAAAATGTGACAGAAGACTCTTTCTCTCAAGTAAATAAGTAAATAAAAATATTTTTTTAAAATGTGACAGAATTGAGGAGCCTGGGTGGCTCAGTCAGTTAAGTGTCTGCCTTTAGTTCAGGTCATGATCCCTGGGGTCCTGAGATGGAGGCCTGCATTGGAGTCCCTGCTCAGCAAGGAGACTGCTCCACCCTCTTCCTCTGCCCCCTACCCTGGCTTGTGCTCTCTCTCTCTCTCTCTTGCTTTTGCTCACTCCCAAATAAGTAAATAAAATCTTTTTTAAAAAATTAAATAAATTTTAAAAATTTTTAATGTGACAGAAGAAAAAAATGTAACACCTTGGCTTAAAATGTGAGGTACCATGATTAAAAGTTGAATGTATTTTAAAACCCACAAAAAACCTGCACAACTTTGAAATGTTTATAACCCTGCAAAATTTGTCTTGGGTCCACCCATATTTATCAGACCATATTTCTGTTCCCAATTTGCTTCTAGTTAATGAGATCATCCCAATGTAGGGCCAAATGTTGAAAGAATGTCTCTACTAAAAATAAAATTTTTAAAGTAAAAAGAATCAGATGATATATTGTATTACTTTAAGATGTTCAAATCCAATTTTACTAGACTCGAAATAAAAGCTCAGAGTTATCTGGTCAATAATTCTTTCTTCAGTCTCTCTAAGGTATATAATACTTAAAGCAAGTATTTAAGATAACATTTGTAAAAGTTTCTAATTATTTGCAACAAATAGGAAAAAGACATTGCAATTATTGCTTATACACTTTTATTTCAACAAATATCTACTGCATATTTATTTTATCACAGGAATGCAAAATGACAAATAATGACACAATCTTTGCTCTTCAGTTCATAGTCTAATAGAAGAAATCACACTTATAACTAATAGTAATAAAATGCAAGTGGTACAACATTAAAGAATTATGGGAGCTCAAAGAATTATGGGAGTTAAAGCTATGAGACTGGAGGTTGATTCCTCATAAGGCAGGTTATATCCCAACTGAGGACAGGTAGGACTCAAACTGATGGACTAGGATAGATATAGGGCATATCAGCCTGAATGAGCAACTTACCACATATATCTAACCAGCTTCATTTTCTTATGAATACATGCATGCTATATGAAAAGGGGAAGGTGAGAGGCGCCTGGGTGGCTCTGTCAGTTAAGTGTCTGACTCTTGATTTTGGCTCAGATCATGATCTCAGGATCGTGAGATCGAGCCCAAGTGGTGTTCCACACTCAGTGAGGAGTCTGCTTGGGATTCCCTCCCTCTTCCTCTGCCCCTCCTCCCATTTGTGCTCTCTCTCTCTAAAATAAGTAAATCTTGAAAAAAAAAAAAAAGAGAGAGAAGGAGAGGGTTGGCAGGCAGGTAATTTGTCTATATGCATGCTTATTTATCCTTTGCTAAGAATAAACTAAATCTAAAAGAAGGAGAACAAGTAAGCAAATTCACTAATTAGAATTATATTTATACTTAACATTTACTCAACGAACTACAACTTCTATCCTAACTAGGGTCATTGATAGGTACTCCGAATTGATAGTGTGCAAAATTTTGTCAAGAATGCTAGACTCTTACAGATTTATATTCTTAGCCTAAACCATTGCTGAATATTATTTCCAAATATTTACATTTATAAACATAAGCCTGAGGCTCTTACTGGGTTAACAATGTTTGCTGTAACAGCCTAGGGATATAAAGACTAGGCTATGCCCTATGGCAGCTCACTCAAATAGACTAAATCAACAACAAAAAGTAAAGTAGGGATTTGGCATTTACTCTTTCTACCTTCAGGCTTTAACTGTGTATAAGTACTCCTACAATAGCCCAGCTATTCTTCCCTTGTTAGTACCCTTACCTTCATAATTAAACTTCTATGTTCCACAGACTGACTAAAATTTGTGCCCATGTCAAATATAGTTGTGATTCCATCCTCACACAAATTCATCCAGTAATGATATTCCTCATGCCCAGGCAGTCGATCCCAAAATGTCCTGAAGGCTTCCCAAACAGCTTCCTGACATACTGGAAAACAGAGAAGTATTTTATGGAAAATCAATGCACTTTGAGGTTCTCACAACAATCATGAATCTGTTTATTCAGATTCCAGAGATATTTGTCCATACTGTGCTTTCTGGAGGAGCATGGGAATGATTCTCAGTCAAAGCTCTTCTGTTGATACATGTCCAGTTTAAACTTTTCAGATATGAAGAGAATTTGGACTCCCGACTCCTTTCCCTTACAAATAGGCTCACGTCAAATAGGGTATTTTTCCCATTTTTCGAAAAAAAAAATCCATGTTTATGCTTTATAAAAGTGGAACAGATATTGAGAATACTTCAATAGGTGGAAGAATAAACTGTGATACATCCATATGATGGAATATTATTCAGTGACAAAAAGAAATGAGGTTCCAAGCAATGAAAAGACACAGTGAATTCTTAGAAGCATATTTCTAAGTAAAGGAAGCCAATCTGAAAAAGCTATATACTATATGATTCCAATGATATGATATTCTGAAAAAGGCAAAATTATAAAAATTGTGAAAAGATCAGTGGTTCCCAGGATTGTGGGGAGGGAGAGATAAAGACATGGAGCACAGTGATTTTTTTTTAGGGCAAGGAAACCACTCCGTAGGACACTGTAATAGTGGATACATGTCATCATACATTTCTCAAAACCCATCAACTGTACAACACAATGAGCATAAACTGCACATAAACTATGAGCTTCAGTTAAGAATGATGTGTCAAGGGCACCTGGGTGGCTCAGTTGGTTAAGCAACTGCCTTCGGCTCAGGTCATGATCCTGGAGTCCTGGGATCAATACTCACATCAGGGCCCCTTCTCAGCAGGGAGTCTGCTATTCCTGCTGACCTCTCTCCTCTCATGCGTGGGCTCTCTCTCTCTCTATCTCTCATTTTCTCTCTCTCTCAAATAAATAAAAAATCTTAAAAAAAAAAAAAAAAAAGAATGATGTGTCAAGGGGCTCCTGGGTGGCTCAGTCAGTTAAGTGTCTGCCTTCAGCTCAGGTCATGATCCCAGGGTCCTGGGATGGAGCCTCCCATCAGGCTCCTTGGTTGGTGGGGAGCCTGTTCTCCCTCTCCTCCCTGCTTGTGTTCCCTCTCACTATCTCTGTCTCTCTGTCTCTCTCTCAAATAAATAAATAAAATCTTAAAAAAAAAAAAAAAGAAGAATGGGTCAATATTGGCTCATCAATTGTAACAAATGTACTATACTAAATGTGTGTGTGGAAGAGTAACAGTATAGGTAACTGTCTGTACTTTCAGCTGAATTTTTCTGTAAATCTGAAACTTCTTTAAAAGTTAAAATCTGGGGCGCCTGGGTGGCTCAGTGGGTTAAGCCTCTGCCTTCGGCTCAGGTCATGATCGAGGCCCACATCGGGCTCTCTGCACAGTGGAGAACCTGCTTCCCCCTCTCTCTCTGCCTGCCTCTCTGCCAACTTGTGATCGCTGTTGAATAAATAAAAATCTTAAAAAAAAAAAAAAAGTTAAAATCTATTAAAAAAAAAAAAGGTCAGAGCAGAGAATAAACTGGTGATTGCCAGAGGGGTTGGGGATGAGGGGATGAATAAAATGGGTAAAGGTTAGTGAGATATACAGGGTTCCAATTATGGGATGAGTAAGTCACAGGAATAAAAGGAACAGTATAAGGAACATAGCCAATGGTATTTTAATAGCATTGTATGGTAACAAATGGTAGTGACACAGTGAGCACAGCATAATGCAGAAACTTGTCTAATCACTATGTTGTACACCTGAAACTAATGTAACATTGTATGTCAATTATACTCTAAAGAAATTTTTTTAAAGATAAGAGAACTGAAAAAATTAAAATGATCTTCCAGAGAAAGGTAGTGCTATATTAAAATAAAAAATAATTCAATCTATCTGCTAAATTATTCCAAAGGATCAAATCTGCAAAGGATGCTAAACAGGCTGTCTGCACATTTTGTATAGAACTAAGTGTATTGCTATGCTGCAGTCATTTCATTGGCTAAATGCCAGACACTGTGGACAACAGACAGACTGAGATAGGAGAGAAGAGGAACAGAATGCTGAGGGAGAAAGATCGATGCAAATGCATAGAGATCAAGACCATTATTTTTCGTCCCAAGAAAAATGAAGGTGTACCCAGTAGCATATTAAGGTGAAGCCCCTGAACTCACAAAGTCAGAAAGTCTAACAGAATTCTAGCCCTAGCCACACCATGTACTAGCTTCATAACCAGGGGTAACTTACCTAGCCATTTAAGGCTTCAATGTACTCATCTCTCTTATTTAACTAGATAAATCATTACTGCCTTACCTATCTACCTGTAAGAGTTTTATAAAGTCCTTAGTGCTACATGAATATTAGTGTCATCATCATAATGGATTTTGGTTGTCTCATAGTTTTTTGATAGAAGAAGATAGTCTAAGCCAAAAAAAAAAAAAAAAACAACAACAACAACAACAAACTACACTTTAAGAAAGAGGAAAATATATGACTATTTAAAGTTCCTCTAACAGTGATTTTTTAGGGTTAAAATGAAACTTTGGTTGCAAACTTAGTTTTCTCTTTTAGTGAACTAACTGCAAACTGCATCCTTATAACTGCTCTTCAGAACTTCTGATATTACAGAATTCAGAAGAATCCAGCCAAAGTTGACTGAGGCAGAGCTGACCACCTGTAGATTCAGAATTCTTCCCCGCTTCTTAAAAATTTCACATGAAAATTTAGTGCCCACCAGAAGACAATGCAAAGGTGAATGTCTCAATTGGCAAAATAAATAAATTTTTTGTTGTCACAAAAAATGAATGTCTATAAGGTCTAGTTATGAAAAAAGTGATTCAAAGAAATTATTAAAAATATTATAAGACTGAGTGTATATCTATAAAGAAAGAAAAATAAATCTCAATAATTTATTTACAATATACACAAAAAATAATTTGAAATATGAAAGCTAATATTACAAAGTTCCTAAAAGAAAACACAGAAGAATATGTATAACTTCAGGACAGGCAAAGATTTCATAGGACATAGAAAGCAACAACTACAAAAGGAAAAAAAAGAAATTAGAATTTATCAAAACAACTACTCATCAAAGATACTATTAATAAAAAATAGATAGGCAGGGGTGCCTGGGTGGCTCAGTCATTAAGCATCTGCCTTCAGCTCAAGTCATGATCCCAGGGTCCTGGGATTGAGCCCTGCTCAGCAGGAAGCCAGCTTCTCCCTCTCCCTCTGCTTGTGTCCCCTCTCTCGCTGTGTTTCTCTCCATCAAATAAATAAACAAAATCTTTTAGAAAAAGAAATGGATAGGCAAGCCATACCTATGGCAGAAAATATTCAAAATACATATATCTCCCACAGAACCAGTATTTAGGATATTTAAAGAATTTCTACAACTCTAATAAAAAGGCAAACAATCTAATTTTCAAAACATGCAAAAGACTGGAACAAACACTTTACAAAGGAAGTATATGTATATGTGACAAAGCGCTATCATTCACCTTCAGAAAAATGCAAATTAACACATCCACACATGAATCACTAACATTAAGATGGTAGTATCACTAAACTGATCTACAGATCTAAAGCAATCCTATCTGAACACAGGTTGGCTTCTTTATAGAAATTGACAAGCTAATTCTAAAATTCATATAGAATTACAATAAACCTAGAATAACTAAAATAATTTTGAAAAAGAACAAATAGATAAACTGGACTTTATCAAAATCAAAAACTTTAGTGCATAGAAGACACCATCAAGAAAGTGAAAAGACAAACCACAGAATAAGAAAAAATACTTTCAAATAATTTATCTGATAAGAAACCTGTATTTAGAATATATAAAGAATGGTTACAACTCAATTATTTTTTAAAAACTGAAAAAAGGGAAGGATTCAAAGATATTTTTCAAAAGAAGATATTCAAATGACAAAAAGCAAATAAAAAGATGTTTAATGTTACTAATCATTAAAGAAATGCAAATCAAAACAAGGGAATACTATTTCACACATACTAGGATGGTGGTGATTTTTTTTTTTTTTAAAGGAAAATCATAGTGCTAGCAAAGATAGAGAAATAAGAATCTCACACACCACTGTTAGGAAATTGAGATGATACAGCTACTTTACAAAGTACTACCTGGCAGTTCCTCATACAGTTAAACATAAAGTTACCATATAACCCAGAAATTCTACTCGTAAGTATACACTTAAATAACTGAAAACATCCCAAATGCCCAACAACTGACAAATGGATAAATGAAATATGGTATAGCCATATAAGGAAATACTATTATTTGGCCATAAAAAATAAACCAGTAATGTATGCTACAACATGAATGAATGTTGAAAACATTATGCAAAGTGAAAGAAGTCAGTCACAAAAGACCACATATTATATTATCTCATTTATCTGAAATATCCTTAATAGATAACTCTATAGAAATAAAAAGCAGATTTGTGGTTGCTTAGGCTTCAGGAGAGGGACAGAGGAAATAAAGGGTAAGAGAGTGATGACTAAAGGGTATGAAGTTTCTCTTTGAGGTGATGAAAGGTTCTTAAACTCAGTGTGATAATGGTTGCATATTTCTGTGAACATATTAGAAAACCACTGAATTCTTTACATTAAATGGATGAATTGTATGGTATGTGAATTATGTCTCAATAAAATTGTAAAAGTAATTCTTTCCAGAAAGGTAATATATCCTTAATTTATCCAATGGCTTTCCATTTGTGAGCTATCTGACAAGAATGTCCAATTAACAAACATGAAATATAGAATTCAGAATATGTACATTTAAATAGAGGAGGAGAACTGGGTGAGGACAGGGTTGGGGGGTAGCCTGGACCCCTCATGCAGCTTAGAGAGAGAAAACCCACATAGGACACTGCAGCCAGTAGAGTGAAGAGTAAAATCAGCACATCCCAGGAAAAGAGGTACTAAGGAGATCAAAACTTTACCAGAGACAATTGCCACACACTTTGCTATGGCCTAGAAGTAGACCTGTTCTGAAATCCCAACCTTGTTAAACAATTTTCATATCATCTTTAGTGACTGTTAAAGATTTTTGAGAAAACAGGTGATCTACAAATGCCTCTCTTGTGGCAAAGAAAACCTGCCCTGCAAACTGCTGGAGGAAAGCAAAATGTAATAGCAGTACTCTGAAGAAAGAAATGCTTGTATTTAATCTGTCTTTAATCCTGTTACTAGGACTCAGGCTGTGCATATTACCCAGTACATAGAAATCCAGTATGGAACAAAGTCTTTCTTTAAGGTATTTTCTTCTAAAAATCATGGTGACCAAAGCATATGGAACATTTTGGTGCAATAAGGCAAGAAATAAAAGGCATATAAATTGGAAGATAAGAAGTAAAATTATCTTTATTTGCAAATAAAATTATAATCTATGTAGAAAACCTTAAGGAATACACAAAAAGCTACTAGAGCTAATAAGTGAATTTAGCAAGTTACAGAATAAAAGGTCAATGTACAAAAAGCAGTTGTATGCCTATATACTAGCAAGGAATAATCAGAAATTAAAATAACATTAACAATGGCATGAAAAAAGTAAACTAAATCTGATAAAAAAGGAGGTGTAAGACCAGTACACTGAAAATTACAAAAAGCTGCCAAGAAAATGGAAGAAGACCTAAGTAAATGGAGGGATATATCACGTTCATAGATCAGAAGACTCATTATTGTTAAGATGACAATTCTTTCCAAATTGACTAACAGATTCAACTCAATTCCAATCAAAATTCCAGCAGCCCTTTTTGTATAAGTTGGCAAGCTGATTCTAATATTTATATGAAAAACAAAGGACCTCACATAACCAAGCAAATCTGAAAAAAAAAAGAACAAAGTTGAAGAACTTTCCCTATTAAAGACTTACTATAATCAAGACAGTATGGTATTGGCATAAAAATAGACAAAGAGATCAGTGGAAGAGAATGAAGACTATAGAAGTAGACCCACCATATACAGAAGATTGATTTCCAACAAACGTGCAAAGGCAAGAAAGGATAAAGTTTTTATTGCCTCATGTTTGTATTTATTTATATATTTTTTGCATTTTCTTTTTTATTTTTCATTATATTCAGTTAGCCAACATATAGTACCTCCTAAGTTTTTGTTGTAGTGTTCAATGATTCATAAGTTGCCTAAAACACCCAGGGCTCATCCCAACATTGGGTAATTTTTTTTTTCAGATTTTATTTATTTATTTAGAGAGAGCACATGAGCAGGGAGAGGGGCAGAGGGAGAGGGAGCAAGGGACTCTCAAGCAGACTCCATGCCCAGCATGGAGCCAGAGTGGGGCTCAATTCCATGAACCTGAAATCATGACCTGAGCTTAAATCAAGAGTCAGATGTTTACCTGAGCCACGCAGGTGCCCCAAGGATAATCTTTTTAAATAAGTGCTGCTGGAACAACTGGCTTAGCAGATGCAAAAATTTAACTTTGATCCATATACACCATATATAAAAATTAACTCAAAGTAGATCATAGTCCTAAATACAAAACCTAAAAATTATAAAATTTCTACAGGGAAAGATAGGAGAAAATACTTATCACTTTGGGTTAAGCAAACTTAGATATAACACTGAAGGCAAGGATAATCCAAAAAAAAAAAAAAGATAAGTTGGACTTCATCAAAATTTAAAATTTTTCTTTGTCAAGAGACATTATTAAGAAAAAAAAACCACACATTGGGTGAAACTATATGCAAAACATATATCTGACAAAGAACTTGTATTTAGAATACATTAAGAACTCTTACAATTCTATAAGACAAATGACCCAATCATTTGGGTTGTCACCAAAAAGGATACACAAATGGTGAATGAGTACATGAAAAAGGTGCTCAACATCATTAGCCATTAAGAAAATGTATATTAAAGCCACAGTAAGATATCACTTCATATTCACTAGAATGGTTACAGTTTAAAAAGACTAACTATACCGAGTATTGCAAGAATGTGGAAAAACTGGAAATCTATTACATATTATGTGGTACAGCCACATTGGAAAACATTTTAGAAATGTCACAAAAAGTTAAACATATAAGGCCCAGCCATTCCACTCCTATTAACCAATAGAAAGAAAACATATGTTCACACAAAAACTTAAACAGAAATGTTCATAACAGATTTCTTTATAATCACCATTAGCTGAAAACAACTGAACTATTCCAAAATGTGATATATCCCTAAAATAGAAGACTACTCAACAATAAAAGGTAACAAACTACTGATACGCAAGAAGAATCATAGATGAGTCTCAAAATAATTGCACTGAGCCAGATAAAAAAGTGTACATACTGATTACATTCATATATAAAAGTGCAGAAAATGCTAACAATTCATAGTGATAAAAACCAGATTAGTGATTGCCTCAGTACCAGGATAAAGGGAAGTGCTAAGGGAGGGAGAGATTACAAAGGCAAATGAGAAAATATTTGGAGGTAACTGATAAATTCATTTTCTTAACTGCATGATGATTTCAAGGGTAAAAACATTTTTCAAAACTAATCAAATAGTATAATTTAAATACACAGCTCATAATCCTTCAATGTATACATTAATAAAGCTGTATTTTAAAAGTGCAACTACAAGTGGAATTTTTTAAATGGGAGGATACTACTAACTGCATTCAATTCCAAGTACCCTCAATATCTGTTTAATTTTACAAATCATTAGGTTAAATGCAGTTGCTTCTTGCTTAAATGAAGATATTTTTCAAGTTTATTACACCAACTAGCAACTGAAGCCAGATACTCTATGAAGGAAAAATTGCGCAAACCATTAAACTGAATTAGCTTAGTTGGACATTGAATGATCTCTCCCTCTAAGTTCCAAACATTTTGTTCCAAGCGCATAATCTCAATTATATCTATAAAATCTCTTTACAACCTCTGCTGAAATATTCATTTTTCCTAATTTTCAAAAACACATTTAGTCTTTACAAATGACAGTTTCTCTCTCTCTCTCTGACAAATAAATAAATAAATAAAATATTAAAAGAAAAAAGGTAAAAGGAAAGCTTACTACTTAGTAATGTTTGATAGTCCCAAAATAAAATTAAGAGATATAAATACCTGCTTTAAAAAAGGTGCTAATAGAGTGACACTTTAATAAAAAAAATTTAAATATATAAAAATATGTAATATCTGGTATTAATTTTTTTATTTTAAAAACAATTGCTTAGACAGTATTATGCTAAGTGAAATAAGTCAGTCAGACAAAGGTAAATACTGCATGGTTTCACTCATATGTGGAATTTAAGGAACAAAACAAATGAGCAAAGGTTAAAATAGAAAGAGGCCAACCAAGAAATAGACTCTTGAGAGAACAAACTGAGGGCTGCTGGAGGGGAAGGGGGGGGATGAGTTAAATATGTGTTGGCGATTAAGGACTGCATGTGTTCTGATGAGCTACAGGTGCTGTATATAAATGTTGAATCACTCAAGTTGTGTACTTGAAACTAATATTGCACTGTATTTGACTAACTGGAATTTAAATAAAAACTAAAAAACACTTTCTTTGAAAAAATATATAAAAATAAAAAGACTTAAGGTTTGGTGAGGGAGGAGAAGTGAAAGGACAAGAGAGAGGAAAGTAAAAAAGAAGATAAAGCAGCAGCTTAGACTGAAGATCCATATAGCCCAGAGCATGGAAAATACGTGTCCAATAAACATTTGTTGAATAAATACATAAATGAGCAAGTCTGATTTCCTTGCCTTCTAATCATCTACCTCTACTTTAGTTTGCCAGCATCACACCCATCTTATGGCTTTTTATTGTCTCCTGAGCAGCAAAAAGTGAAGTGTGCGATTCCTTCGAAACTCAGAGACATACTATGGTCAATTAAGCTATTTTGGTTAGTAAATACAGAACTTATACACATAATAAAAAAGGATTTGATCAAGGATAATACTGTTTAGTTAAAAATAAAATCCTGGGTACAGTCAGTCATGCATCCCACAGACTCTTTGTTTTGGCTCAGGTTGTGATCTCAGGGTCATGAGATCGATCCTTGCTTGCATCAGGCTCTGACTCAGTGTGGAGTCTATTTGAGACTATTTCTCCCTCTCCCTCTGCCAGTCCTCCCCCCAACCCCTCACCCCCACCTCTGCATGCTTGCTGTCTCTATCTCTTAAAAAAAAAATAAATAAAATCTTAATTATAAATAAATAAATAAATAAAATCCTAGTTAATTGCTTTCAGGTCCATTGTGAGAAGTGCCATCATTTTAGACATGATAAGTTTAAGTATACCAACCAGAGACTTATCATCATGAATCTGCAGAATGTCTGGACTATAAAATATAGAAATTTATTATATTTTCATGTATATAAAGTAACTAATTACCCAAATAGGTAAGTATGCCATGGATAATACATTTTGCAGGTATATTTAAACAAATTACTGAATGATGAAGGAAAAATAATTAAATTTTCCAATAACACAAACTGGTATTTTTGACATGCTTAAAAGGCTTTAGCCATTTCCACTCTTAAACTTTCCTCTCAATCTATATAAATACTATACTTTCAGCAAGTCCCTTTCCCATAGCTAATACAAAGATAATATTTGGCTCAGTATCTGTCTAAATTATCACAGACTTTGAATTTTCACAAGATACAACACACATGTTAGAAATATGTTTGAATTGCATCATGAAGCCCCAAGGTTTAGATGCTCACTTACCTCGTACTTTAAAATATTTCACATGGTTTGCCACAGCCTCTGTCACACTTTCACCCGGACAGGTTTTCACACCATTAGGAAACAGAATAGATCGCCTTCTTCTCAGCAACCACTGTTTCTCAGTTTCTCTGTGGTCCAGAGGTAGTTTCCTTTCAGTAGAAGGAGAAGTGTCTGTGGATTCTGAGTCAGTCAGGAAAAAAGAAACCGCACTCTTGGGTTCTTGGATATCTTCTAAAGACATGTAGGTTTGTGCTACAGAGTGAAAGCATAGACAAGTCTTCTGATAATAACAAAGATACAGTATGAAAGGTAATAAATAAAAACTGACTTTTGTGCCATATTTCAATTTTAAAGTCATGATCAGACTACAGACATGCATGCCTCAAGAGTGGAGGAGTGAGCTGTCAATTTTTTCTCCATCTAACTCCTCCTCCTTTATTTCAAGATTCTTGGTTATTGAAACAACTATATATCCAATTGCAACACAAGAAATAAGAGGAAGTAAGTCCGAAGTAGAAATTACTAAAGAAAAAAAACAAAATTATTGGAGAGATTTTAAAAGTTTAAATGAAGCAATAACAAAGACTAAAATAATAGCATTTGATTCAATTTCTTACACAGTTGTATCAAATAATGTTATTTTTAAAGAGATTATAATACAAATATAAGGAAAAAATATATAGATTTTTAAATACCTGTTAGTGATGTAAGGTTTCCTTCTATCACGACAAATATCAAAATACCCAAAGAAATCTTCCCCAAATGAGGAAACATAATCATTTGGGCCAAAATCAAAGGAATGAGAAGAAACCAAAATCCTTAACTTGAACACCCAAAAAGACTTGAAACTTCCAGTAACAAATTATTATAGGAAAGGTCTAACATTTAAGAGTTTATATTTGAGAACTGACAAACATTCCAAAACCATTATAAATTAGCTAAATAAAAATGGTGTCCTTTCAAAATAGCTGTCACTTCTTTCCTGAAATAACCAGCACAGCTATGAAAGCGGAAGAGATAAGCTAATTAGAACAGATGGGGAGAGACAATTTCTTTATTCTAATCTACCCAGCTAAGCTGTTTACGGCTCTTTCTTTGCCTTTAACAAGGAGTCCACTTAAAAATACTCTTTCACGTATGATTCATGGAGTTTTACAATTTTTATGAACCTAGTGGTTGAACATGACAGATTCGCAAGTTCTCTGGGTTCTTCTAGGGTCTATGATTTGTTTTGTTTTAAGATTCATTTATTTATTTATTTTGAGAGAGAGAGAGAGTGTGGGTGGGGTGGAGGCAGAGGAAGAGACAGTCTCGAGCAGAACTCCGTGCTGAATGCAGAGCCCAACTTGGGGCCTTATCTCACCACCCTGAGCTCACAACCTGAGCCAAAACTAAGAGTCAGAAGTTCAACCAACTGTGACACTCAGGTGCCCCTAGGACTTATGATATGTAAGCAAAAGATTTTACAAGCCCAAACTGACTATACCTATCTACTTCAGAAATACAGAGCTAGGTACAAAACTAACTCTAGCTAGTTTTCCTGGAGCTATTTCTTTTCGGCATAGTTACTATCATGTAAATTTCTCTCCTTGATAAAAAATTTGAAAATCTGGGATGCCTGGGTGGCTGAGTTGGTTGTGTCTGCCTTCAGCCCAGGTCATGATCCCAGGGTCCTGAGATGGAGTCCCACATCATGCTCCTTGCTCAGAAGATAGTCAGCTTCTCCCTCTGCCTGCTGCTCCCTTTGCTTGTGCTCTGACAAGTAAATTAAATCTATTTTTAAAAAAAGAAATTTGAAAATCTTTGGTTATAACCACTTAATGACTTCTTCTGTATTTATAAAATGGGATAGGAATAATAAACCTAACCCATGATGGCCTATCGTGAGGATTAAGTTAGTAAATACACAGAAAATGCTTAGAATAGTGCCTGATACATACTAAGCATACAATAAAAATGATAGCCACATGATAACTGTGTTAGCTACTAAACATGAGACCCGGTATGTTTATGTACATGAGGAACTCCTAGCCAAGAAAGGATATCTTTTATCACATTAGGACCAGATAAAATTCTTTGTATTAGGACAGTTGTTTTTATCAAATAAACCAAGTAGAAAGCAATTAAATTCATCAAAGTCCCTGGGAAAGCTAGGATTTACATCTTATGTCATGTACCTCTAGTGAAGTTTTCAGTGGGGGGGACTGTTTGGTAAAGATCTAAAGCACATTTCTCTTGAGAATCCTAAAGTAGTCCTGACCCCAATTTCTTCAGCCCCCAAAAGGGATGCACTCAGTTGTAAGAGAAGAGACCAGCTGGGTGAGTGTAGACCATACCAGCATAAGGAAGCCTGATACCCACAAAAGCCTGTCTTTTAATGGCCTCTAGGCAGTTTCCAAATTTCTCCAAGGACAAGTTCAGTTACAAGAGACTCTATAGAAGGAAGGAAAAAGCATATGTTTTCCAATACCATTTTATATACTTCTGGTCAAGCAGGCTTTCAAAGTATGCATGTCTACTCATAGTTCTCCCAGACCAGGCATAGTTCAACAATTAGAGGTCATTTTCACAATTAAAAAAAATATTGAATACAAATGACATTTTACATTTATTTTAGCCCAGTACATTTCTAAAGAAACACTAGTGATAAGAAATAAAACCCAAGATAATTTGCTATGAAGAAAAGGCTTAAGCTTGGTGTTAAGCCAAAAGCAATTACAGCATAAGTGAATAATTTTATATGATTAAAAAGTAGGTGACACTGGAAAGATGAGGACAGCACATAGATTGGAACCAGATTAGAAAGGGCTCTCTACGAGCCCTTTTTTTCCCCATAACATAAAAAGAAAACAAGCTGATTATAAGAGGCATTATACTTTTTCTAAGTCTTACTTAGATAGGAGTCAAACAAACAAAAAAACAGCTACTCCTTTTTTTAATCCCAAGAGTTGTAAATTAAAAATAGTATTATCTTCTCTGGAAAGACTTTCCCTGTCCAGTGACAACCCTCTTACTATCTTTCTACCACTTCTCACTAACACACACACACACACACAACTAGGATGAACTCTCTCCTGAGCTCCCAAGAAAGTCTATTACAGTTTTTGCCGGGAATATTAAAACTATTCATATGTCCATTTCTCCCACTAGACTATAAATGACTCAATAACAAAAGCTGTGGTTCATTTTTTTGTACCTAGCAAATTGCCTACTAATAGATGCTCTAAAAATGTTTCCTGAATGAACAAATTAACTATATGCCTGTTAAGGAAGAAAGAAAAATTAATCTAAGCATCAGTTATATGATATGAACTGGAAATCATAAATTTGAAAATTTATTTCTAAGAATGGCTCATGTTTCTTAAGAAAAGAATATTACGCCTTGATTTAATGAATTGGAAACGTGTTTAATATAAAATGTTGATAATCAACGCATCATTTCCACATGAATTTAGGAAAATGAATTTTAAACAATCTTCAAAACATGATAAAGGACAGTGGTACCTTTGAAAAACATACAAACAAAAAGTTAAGAAGTCACAAGAAGATGTATTACATACTTGCTTTCCCAAAATTAGATGTATGAAATAATTAATAGTCTTTTTAAAAAGTCCCCTCCCATACACACACAAGTTGGGAATGAAAACATGTAATTATAACTATCTTTATAAGAAATCTCCAAAAGACAAATATCTTTAACAATATAAAGATGATGACAAGATTAACAAAAACTCAAAAACACTGAGGCTTAACTGACAAATTCAAATTCACATGATTTTGAAATAAAATGTTCCAACTTTTAGCTTTATCTTAAATTGCCTCTGCTTCACTGCTTTATATACAGTTAACAATATAAATCCAAGAGATGCTTAAAACAGAAGATCAAAATAACTCTTAGAAAACATGTTTCTTTTCTGAGAAAATACAGTATCATTGTCCCCTCAAAATTTTCCTGATAACATCAAAAGCTTGTGAAGTCTTTAACCATGTAATACCACCATCATCACATGAATTCAAAACTGTTACCTGAACATTAAATAAAAACTTAAGCTCCATGGGGATCATAGGTCTCTAAAAACTATAATTTAAAAATATAAAAGCAATTCTAGCAATCTGGCTTTTGCAGATGAATACTGGGTAAACAGAGTTATAAAATTATATATTTAGTTCTAACAATTAATAAATAAGATTTTGAGGGTATTTTTAATTAAAGTTATGAGGACACCAATTTTATCTTCTACACTTACAGAAACTGTATACATACATTCTAAGATATCAGAATAGGATAGAAGTCAATATTGATAAAGCTATACCTCAAATAAACTAATTAAGCTACATATATAATTTTTACAAATCTGTTTTGGACAGTTAAAATTTTTTTGTTCCAAATTTCATTCTGAATGAATGAACTAAATTCTCAGATCCCCACATATGACATCAAAAGAAAAAGAGAACATATAACAATTTACAGCAGAGTAACGGTTCCATTTAGCAATTGAGAAAAATAAGCTGCGCTTTGAAAGAGTCAATTTTTATCATCTTCCTAACATCGTGTCTTCTTTTACACTATACAGAAGGGATGCCGTAAATGGCATTTTCTGAAGCCTTAATACTAAATTCTTCTTTAAAAAAATACACAGTATTCATACTGCATGCTTGAGCTGCAAAGAAGAGAATTACAATATAATGTGACTTGTCAACAAACTTGACAAGCACTGGGGCTGGCACCAGGGAGGACCTAACTCCCCTCAACTCCCAGTTATATGGAAGTACAGATCACATAGTTTTATTATCTACAAAAACATTCTCACATTTACATATGCTATTGCATAATCAGAAACATTTAATCAGAAAAATATCAAATATTTATGAAATTTTAATTTCTATCTAGTAAGTTTATCTATACCACCCCCATTTTCCACTGCATCTATGAGATCTCAACAATCTAATAATATATCTTATATATTTTAGATACTGTTCAATGACTTTTAAAACTACCACAAGTTATTTTCTTCTCTGTGAGCTAACACAAATGCTGATAAGCGGCTTTCCAGTAATCTTATAGAACATCTGTGTCATGTTTGTACAGATTAACTAGCTACTGCTGCCCTTCTGTTGCTGTAAATGAAGTTTCAAAATGAGCTCTCGAATATCCTCCCGTTTGGTCTTTATTACATGACGAGGAAACCATTTCTCCAAATGAATTGGAAGCTCAAAATTAACAATAGGATCCTAATGAAAGAAAAGAAAGAATGCAATCACTTTAGCAGTACAATTTAAATTTGTTTTTATTTCATTTTACAAGAAATGAGAAATTGCTGGCTTTTTAAAATAATGGCTTTACTGAGATATAATTCATATAATATATAATTCACCTAAACCTATGTATTACTATTCCTCCCCAACTATATGAAAAATTCTAACTGTATACTATAATCCTTATGTGCTAAAAGTGCATTCAGTACTAGTCAAAAATACTCTACTCCTATACCCATTTTCATAACACCACACCAAAAAATGGGGCTGGCTGCCAGGACAACCAACAATGCAATTAC